TTAGCCTACAAAACTTAAAGCCTTGCTGATGTCAAATTGTTTGAAGACTTTCGATTTTTGAAATGTATCCCTTGACATCTAGTATCGGTGACCATGGGGGGGGGGGGAAGGATGCTGCAACGGTCGCAAAGTGTGAAAAACAGTCGCGAGTCACTTTTTTTCCAGGGCCCTTGTAACTTCGGTCACTAAGCGGACGGTTGTAAGTCGAGGACTTCTGAACTACCAAGAGCCTTGGTGGTGCAGCGGACTAAAGCGCTGTTAAAGTAGCACTTAGCTGCCAGCTGCCTGCAATTACTGCGAGTTCAAATCTCACCAGGCTCAAGGTTGACTCAGCCTTCCAATCCTTCCGAGGTAGGTAAAATGAGGACCCGGATTGGTGGGGGCAAGAGGCTGACTTTGTATAAAAAAAAGAACACCGCTTAGAGGGGTGGGGGCAAAAGCCCTACTAAGCAGGTATATACAAAAGTATGAAGGCTATTGCTTAACGCATTGTAAGCCACCCTGAGTCTCCGGAGAAAGGGCGGCATATAAATTGAACCAATCAATAATAAAATAATAAATAAATCAATAATAATAAATAAATAATAAAAAAAGTTGTCTGTATTTCAGAATAAATAAATAAAAAATCCTAAAGAAGGAACCCCCAATACCCTACCCTCCATCCTCCAACTCGGGTCAATGTGTTTTCCTTCAGTAACTAACTAAGAGTTGGAAGGGACCTGGAGGTCATCAGTCCAACCCCTTGGCTCACGCAGGAACTGCCTCAGGGAAAAACTTTTCTGCTCGACAAGCTCAGCGTCTTAGCCAAAGAGGCTAGGATCAACCACCCAGCCCCCACCACCCTCCCCACCAGGGCCGGGTCCTCTGGGCCAGTGTTTCTCAACCTTGGTACCTTGAAGATGGGTGGACTTCAACTCCCAGAATCCCCCAGCCAGCAGCGCCACCACCCACCGGGCCGGGTCCCTTGGGCCAGGTTTCTCAACTTGGTAGCTTGAAGATGGGTGGACTTCAACTCCAGAATCCCCCAGCAACAGCGCCACACCCAGGGCCGGGTCTCTCTGGGCCAGTGTTTCTCAACCTTGGTAGCTTGAAGATGGGTGGACTTCAACTCCCAGAATCCCCCAGCCAGCAGCGCAACCCACCCACCAGGGCCGGGTCCCTCTGGGCCAGTGTTCTCAACCTTGGAAGCTTGAAGATGGGTGGACTTCAACTCCCAGAATCCCCAGCCAGCAGCGCCACCCACCCACCAGGGCCGGGTCCCTCTGGGCCAGTGTTTCTCAACCTTGGAAGCTTGAAGATGGGTGGACTTCAACTCCCAGAATCCCCCAGCCAGCAGCGCCACCCACCCACCAGGGCCGGGTCCCTCTGGGCCAGTGTTTCTCAACCTTGGAAGCTTGAAGATGGGTGGACTTCAACTCCCAGAATCCCCCAGCCAGCAGCGCCACCCACCCCCAGGGCCGGGTCCCTCTGGGCCAGTGTTTCTCAACCTTGGAAGCTTGAAGATGGGTGGACTTCAACTCCCAGAATCCCCCAGCCAGCAGCGCCACCCACCCCCAGGGCCGGGTCCCTCTGGGCCAGTGTTTCTCAACCTTGGAAGCTTGAAGATGGGTGGACTTCAACTCCCAGAATCCCCCAGCCAACAGCGCCACCCACCCACCAGGGCCGGGTCCCTCTGGGCCAGTGTTTCTCAACCTTGGAAGCTTGAAGATGGGTGGACTTCAACTCCCAGAATCCCCCAGCCAGCGCAGCTGGCTGGGGGAATTCTGGGAGTTGAAGTCCACCCATCTTCAAGCTACCAGGGTTGAGAAACACTGCTCTGGGCGAAGCAGCCCAACTCTCTCTCTCACCCACCCACCCACCCTGCTAGGGATGGATCCAGCTCTCGGGGTCGAGGCGAGGCGGCCCAGCCCCAGCGCCCCTTGGGCGGGCCTGGCGAGGGGGCCTAGCGCGGGGCCTGGGCGGCGGCCTCCTCTTCTTCCCAGACCCCCCCCCTGTGTGTGTGTGGGGGGGGTCTCGCTCGCGCCCCTCCGCCGGCGCCGCCTCTCCTGCCGCTCTTCCTTCCTTCCCCGGGCGGCCGAGGGGGAGCTGGCGCAGACCCCGCACCCGGGAGCCGAAGGAGAGCGGGAGGAGAAGCGGAGGCGGCTGAAGGGAGGAAGGTTCCCCGGCGCAGCGGCTCCCGCTTACCAGGTCGTAGTCCTCCTCATCGTCGCACATGAAATCATCCTCCATGTCAGACATCTTGGCCGGAGGACGCGAGGGGAGGGGGGAAGGAGGAGGAGGAAGAGGGGCGGGGCGCGGAGGTCGGACCAACAGCCGGGCGGACGGCTCACCCCCTCTTCTCCCACAATGCCCCGCGCCTCGGACAAACTTCCCCACCCACCCACCTCCCCCTTCGACGTGACGACGTCCGGAAAGGGGTCGCACGCAAAAGCGTCCGTTCGTTCCGCCGCGCCTCGGACGTTCCGGCCGCGCGCACCCGGAGCGTCATTCGGGGTGCACCAGGCCTACTGGGTTTTGTTTTTGTTTTTTTTTTTGTAGTGGAGGGGGTGGGCGTTTGGCAAGCGGGTTCCCTTAGCAACGGCTCGAGTCGCAAAAACGCAGCTCGGGTGATTTGGATGAGGCTTCAGGCTTCTAAGTGAGAGGAATAGAATAGAATAGAATAGAATAGAATAGAATAGAATAGAATAGAATAGAATAGAATAGATAGAATAGAATAGAATAGAATAGAATAGAATAGAATAGGAATAGATAAGGAATAGGAATAGGAATAGGAATAGAATAGGAATAGGAATAGGAATAGGAATAGAATAAGGAATAGGAATAGGAATAGAATAGAATAGAATAGAATAGAATAGAATAGAATAGAATAGAATAGAATAGAATAGGAATAGGATAAGGAATAGGAATAGGAATAGGAATAGGAATAGGAATAGGAATAGAATAAGGAATAGGAATAGGATAGAATAGAATAGAATAGAATAGAATAGAATAGAATAGAATAGAATTCTTTATTGGCCAAGTGTGATTGGACCCACAAGGAATTTGTCTTTGGTGCATATCCTCTCAGTGCACATAAGGAGAATAAAAGACATTCATCAAGAATAAAGAGATTCAACATTAGTGATAGTCAAGGTTACTAATAAGCTATCAAATCGTACTAGGAAACAAAAACAACATAAATTGAAAGATACAAGCCACATGGTTATAGTAATAAGCGGGAAGAGATAGTACTAGTAAGGAAGAGAAGAAGAATAGTAATGCAGACTTAGTAAATAATTTGACAGTGTTAAGGGAATTATTTGTTTAGCAGAGTGATGGCGTTCGGGGAAAAACTGTCCTTGTGTCGAGTTGTGTGCAGTGCTCTATAGCGTCGTTTTGAGGGTAGGCGTTGAAACAATTTATGTCTAGGATGTGAGGGGTCTGTAGATATTTTCACAGCCCTCTTTTTGACTCTTGTAGTACCCAGGTGTTGTTAAGAGGGCTGCAGAGGGGAGCATGGTGCTCTCCCTTTGGCTCTGCTACCTTTTAGCAACCTGAAAGGAGCCTGTGACAGATCAGAATCAGTCAAGTTTGGAAAGGAATATTTGTAGTTCGGAGTTGAAATGAGGAGCCCTTGGTGCTCTCTGATCTTAGCTGTTTTCTTGCAGACATTTCATGACCAAACTAGGTAACATCATCAGTGCACCTGACATCATTAAGTCAACTGTCACTAAATCGTAAGCTGATAAAGGAAGAGGAGAAAGGAGCTTTTTACAAGAAGAGCTGCCACATCACAGCAAGGCGCCTCAAATGCAACAACCGTAACCCTAAATCAGCATTTCTCAACCTGGACAGCTCGGAAGATGTGTGCATTTCCACTCCCAGAATCCTCCAGCCAAGTTATGGAAGTCGCTTTGCTTCAATGGCTACAGTGCAGATCAGCAAAAGCCCAACAGATGACTTTTCCTGTTTTGCAATTTGCCTGGCTTGGCATCAGTTTGGCCAGAGGTTATAAACTGTGTATAGAGCTTGCAACAATATATAAATAAGTAGCCAGTTGTGTGTCTTTCATACACTGCCAGGCCATAATTTAGCATATGTACACACCTGTCATATAAATATGACTAGAATAAACAGAATAGAGAAGAGAAGAGAAGAGAGGAGAGGAGAGGAGAGGAGAGGAGAAGAGAAGAGAAAATTCTTTATTGGCCAAGTGTGATTGGACACACAAGGAATTTGTCCTGGTGCATATGCTCTCAGTGTACATAAAAAGACAAGATACATAAGTCAAGAAACATAAGGTATAACACTTAATGATAGTCATACTACTATGTACATAGTACGACATAATACAATACTGAATCCTTGTACTCCATGGATGGAACATAAAATCACATCCGGAAAAGACCCCAGCGGTTTCCTACTCCAACCCTTGCTCAATTATACCATCCTGGTCAAGTGGTTGTCCGAACTCCTTTTGAAAACTTAGATCGGTGTTTTTCAAACCCTCCAACTTCAAGGTGCGTGGACTTCCAACTCCCAGAATTTCACAGCCACTCTGCCAAGTTTGCAAAACACTCGACTAAGCGGTGACCTCCAAGGCGCTTTCCAACTTTTACATACATCTGAAACTCTTACCCCCTTTTTCGAACATTTAATTTGATTGAAAAGCATCGCCTTTCTTGAGCTACACGCACCCTGCCTTCAACAGGTGCCCTAATCCTCCACTTTTCCTTAAATTTATTTATTTATTTATTTGTTTGTTTAAATTTCTATACCGCCCTTCTCCAATATAGGACTTTACGCGTTTAATAAATAGGAATTTACGCGTTTAATAAAACGTGTGCATTGAAAAAGCTGCAAAAGCCCAAACTCTCCCAACTTTCTCAATCGGTGATGGGGAAGGGGGCAGAGATTTTTTTTTTATTTCCGAAAGTGGGACGTTTGCAAATGACAGAAGCCTTCCCGAGAATAGATGATTAACTCTCCCTGGTGGCGAGACGCGGCCCTTCGCTTCTTCCTGCATCTTTCGTTGTGGATTTCTCCAGTTCCGCATCTGCAGCGGAGGTAGGGCACGGTCGTTCGCAAGGAGCTCCGCAGCTTTTTTGCCATCACGGGCGCCTCTGGGCGGGGAATACAGGAGGAGGAAACAGCTGCAGCGAGCAGAGCTGGAAGCAGACGTGTCCCAGGGCTTGGCCGGTTGCAGAAGGAACACAAAACCCCGCAGCAACGTTGACAATCGTTGTGGGGGTGTGTGAGAAGCACAGGATGGCTGCCGACGCGCCCCCCATCCTTTCGCTCCAGCTGGTGGAGGAAGAACCGAGGTGCGTGGTCGGACTCTCGCCCCCCACTCCGCGTCTGAGCTCCAGCGGTCAGGGCAGAAGGCTAAGAGTATGGACCTTCTTCCTTGAAGCGCTTTGCAACGAGTCCTGCGCATGAGAGAGTAGCCGGTTACTTACTTACCTAGGTTACTTACTCCCAGGTGGAGGTGCATGAGATTGGAGGAGTTGTAATCTCATAAGAGAAGATTACAAGGGGCAGTTCCGAGTGCATTGCTCGGTTTGCTTCCTATTCCTTGTTTCAAGGAACCGAAGAAAATAGGCGTTCATTCAATCAATCATTCAATTGCTATAGCCGCCCATCTCAGTCCATGATTCTGGGTGGTTTACAATTCCAAAAAAAAATAAAAAAGTTACATCAAAATACTAAAAAGCATTTCAAAACACAAAAGTATGAAGGCTGTTGCTTAACGCACTGTAAGCCGCCCTGAGTCTCCGGAGAAGGGCGGCATATAAATCAAATTAAAAAAAAAAAAAAGCAATAGGAACATCCGAAATAAATATACCTAGTAGCTGAGATGCTTAGCCAGCTAGCAACAGGGTCCTTAACACATCCAGCACCCCAGGCTCTTGATGTATTTCTGCCCACCCACCCCAAATTTGATCTTACAGCCATGTAAGAGTAAGCTCCTTAGGTAGCAATGCAAGGTTGTTAGGAAAACCATGCCCAGCCTGATATCCAATGGGTTGGATTATAAAGTCTCATAAACCACTGGGATGGCCACGCATGCCAGATTGGGAAAGATTGAGTTAAGGTTTTGACCTACAATTGGTTCAACTCTACTCAGCCGTGGATGTTCATTTGGTGATTTGGAGCCAGATAGGCCAATGTATCTTACACAGTAGTTGTGGGAATAAAACTGGATAATTCAACGTCATCTAACCAATAAGGTTTAATGAACGGAAGGTGCGGGGTTCGAATTGGCTTTGGTTCAGTCATCGTTGTCAGGCACAAAATTTCATTAAGCAGCCATATTCAACATGGTTGAATAGTGACTTGTGTGTGCCTGATGACAAGTTTATAAGTCTTGTCCCATCATCTTGAATATCTGCTGGGGTGGGATTTGAAATCAACTGCATGCAAAATTTCTCTTCTGCCAAGTTGCTGTGGTTCCCTCAACAGCAAGCCATGATATTTTTGAATAAATTGCAATAGGCTAGAATCGTATAATATAAAACGATACAACTCTTCATAGCTTTGTGTCCTATGGAAAGAATTATTTACTATTACTTTCAATAACGGAACCATGATTAGTGGAATGCAGTAATATGACCTGTGAATATTAAAACTACATTAGCCTACAAAACTGCTGATGTCAAATTGTTTGAAGTCCTTAGATTTTGAAATGTATCCCTTAACATCTGTATCAGTGACAAATTTGTACTGCTGCTCTTTTTCAGATTGCTGAAGCTGAAAAAGATGTTCATATCTAAATTTAAAACAACACCAAAATTTTATGTTCGAGCACCAGGCCGAGTCAACTTAATAGGTAAAGTATTTTTTTATTTTTAAAAAATGCGTTATTTTGTTAAGCTTTCAGCAATAGAATCAAGTGGCAGCCAGAATTTTTCACTTTAAATAGCCTATATTTGTTTGTTAGTCAGTAGGGTGTGGCAGTAACTACAATAAGGTATATGCAGGACTGCCACCTCCTGCTTGAATTAACCTGTTCAGTACATTCTTCCCAGAAGAAGTTTTTGGATATACTCTCGTACCCCACTTTTATGAAGTGAGGGGAAGAAAGCTAAGAAATATAATTTTTCTGACAGCTCCAATGCTATGGAGCAGTTTCCCTTTAGAATTAAGACTTGTTACATTGCTTAACATCCCAGAAATAATACAAGAACTCTTCAATAGAGCGCTGTTGTCATTTGTATTATTATTGATATATTAGTGTTATGTTCATTTTTATTACAAATTGATTAGGTTTGCTCTGGTTATTTTTGACTTTTCCGTCAATGCTTTTGCCGTGCTCTTTTTAATTTTCTATTGTCTATTGCGCATTCTATCAAGTTCCTTCAGTCTAGCGAAGGCCATTCCTATAAACCAAGATGCAACCTCTATGTCCGAGAATCTTCAGCATAAATAAACCATCCCATGCAGAATTTAGTCAAATAAAAAAGAGGGTATTTGGGTCAGTGGTGAAATTCAAATTTCTTTTACTCCTGGCTCTGTGGGCGTGGCTTGGTGGGTGTGGCTTGGTGGGCATGGCAGGCGAAGGAGACTGCAAAATCCCCATTCCTTCCCCACTCCTGGGGGAAGGATATTGCAAAATCTCCATTCCCTCCCCACTCTGGGGCCAGCCAGAGGTGGTATTTGCCGGTTCTCCGAACTACTCAAAATTTCCACTACCGGTTCTCCAGAACCTGTCAGAACCTGCTGGCTTTCACCCCTGATTTGGGTGCTATGTGAGATCATTTAATTTTCTGGGTTTTTATTTTTTAATAGGTGAACATATAGATTACTGTGGATATGCTGTACTCCCGATGGCCATAGATCAAGACATACTTATAGCAGCTGAACCTCTAAGCAGCCCAGTCCTCCATTTGGCTAATACAGATTCCTCATACTCGTAAGTGCCATTTTGTTTACTGATTATTGTTGCTGTTACAGATGTTTCACAATGGCGCAGTCTTCACCTGTAGACATGCAATTTAAAAAGCACATCACAAAAGGGAAATGAGTGAAAACGGAGCAAAATTCATAGCAGAATCCATTATGCGTTACTCAGAATTAAGCCAATCAATATTTGAACTATCAACAAACATCTTGTGCCTGGAAATATGTATACGTGTTATGCTCCAGCTCTCAAAACTCTTCAGCCAACATGGCTAATGGCAGCTGTAGTTTAATACAGGTAGTCCTTGACTTAGAAAAATTCATTTGGTGATTGTTCAAAGTTAAAATAGTACTGGAAAAAAAATGACATTTTTTCACACAACCATTGCAACATATCCCCATGGACACAGGATCAAAATTCAGACACTTGGCCACTGATTCATATTTATGACGGTTGCAGTGTCCAGAGGTCATGTGATCCCCTTTTGTGACCTTCTGACAAGCCAAGTCAGCGGGGAAGCCAGACTCACTTAACAACCTTATTACTAACTTAACAACTGGAATCATTCACTTAACAACTGTGGCAAGAAAGGTTGTAAAATGAGGCAAAACTCACTTAAGAAACGTCTCACTTAACGAGGGACATTTTGGGCTCCATTGTGGTCGTACGTCAAGGACTGTATGTATATCTGAGCACTAGACCATAGAAATCCCTGCTGGGGTAGAATGAGTTTAGTTATCTACATAAGCTGGAACTATTTTAAAAGTATTAAAATTACTTTCTGATTCCCCCAAACTGCTTAAGAATCTAGAACACAAGTTATTCAGCATAATCCAAGAGGGGTCCATTTGCTTCAGATAAAAACCTAATAACAATATAGCATAGGTCATTTATATCAGATTTGTGAGAGGCAGTTTGGTGCAGTGGTTAAGGCACCAGACCAAAAATGGGAAGATGTGAGTTACGGTTCCACTTGATGCCCCAAACCTGATGCCGGATCTTGGACAAGTCTCTATAGCTCACCTTTATGACGAAAGCAATAAAACCCACTTCTAAAAACCTTGCTGGGAAAATTGCACGGACTGGTCTAGGCAGACTCATCAAGAGTCAACAATGTTTTGAAGGCACACAAAACATTGAGGGACAAAAATAAAAAGATTGAAACACTTACGTTTTCCTTGCAAACAATTATCTCTCGGCTTCCCCTTGCCTTTGTTCTGACCTAGACTTCCTTAGAAAGCATGAAGCAAAGTCTTCTTTTTTTGTAATAGTTTTTATTAGGTATTTTACAAAAAGGAAAAAAAAGAACATTTCCCTGAAAATAAGACATCCCCTCCTGATAATAAGCCCAATCGGGCTTTTGAGTGCATGCGCTAAAATAAGCCTCCCCCCCCAAAATAAGCCCTCCCCAAAAGTATTTAAATGCAGAGCTGGAAATCTGGTAAGACAGCAAGAGGAGCCCCATCTTGCTCCATATGCTCCAAAATAATAAGACCTCTCCAAAAATAAGGCCAAATGCTTATTTCGGGGTTCAAAAAAAATATAAGACAGGGTCTTATTTTCGGGGAAACACGGGTACATCAAACACTAAAATACAAAATTAACAACATTTATATACAATTTTACAACTTTCTGCATCGACCTTTGTCTTTACCTTTAAATTCCATCTTCCTAATCCTTCTCTTATTTTTGTATGCCCATAATTAACATTTTTGTAAACAGGATTGTTACATATATTTATAGGCCGCCTTGAGTCTTCGGAGAAAGGCAGCATACAAATTGAACAAACAAACAAATAAATAAACATCCAGTGTATTAATACCGAATTTCAGTTTATATTCATATTTCTTAATTTGATTTCTATTTTCTAGCCAGGTATAAAACCTATTCCACACTTTGTAATAGTCCGAGTCATCTCTTTCTTTGATCTCCATTGTTAATTTGTCCATTTCGGCGCATTCAAGTATCTTGTTAATTACTATTTCTTCAGATGGTGTATTGGTCAGCTAGCATGAAGCAAAGTCTTAGTCCCACAAAACCTCTTTTATTCATACGGCTGTAAATTACTTTCATTTACAGTCCACAAGGTTTGACAAACAGTCTTTCAGAGGAAGGTTATCAACACCCACCTACCAGCTCTGTGGGTGTGGCTGGGTGGGCATGACATGGCTTGGTGGGCGTGGCTTGGTGGGCGTAGCAGGGAAAGGATACTGTAAAATCTCCATTTCCACCCCACTCCAGGGGAAGGATACTGTAAAATCTCCATTTCCACCCCACTCCAGGGGAAGGATACTGCAAAATCCCCATTTCTTTCCGATCAGCTGGGACTCGGGAGGCAGAGAATAGATGGGGGCGGGGCCAGGCAGAATTTTTACTACCAGTTCTCTGAACTACTCAAAATTTCCGCTACCGGTTCTTCAGAACTGGTCAGAACCTGCTGCGACCCACCTCTGCCTGTGGGTCTTCTAGCAGTTGTCTGGTGTGGTATCTTCAAATCTCATCATCCTAATCTTATAGCAGAAAAGCATCTCGGGTCTATTAAAATGAAAACCCGCTGTTTTGGCTTTTTCTCTGGTAATAGGAAGAGGGGGAAGAACCGGAATGGACAACATGGGTTGGTAGATCTGACATTGGTTTCCAAACTTTCCTGGTTAATGTCTTATATGGGGACAAAAGGGATTACCCAATGTTTGTTCCAAATTAAAATTCAAGCATTTAGATGGGAGTATTCAATTGGGATGTTCATCCCTTTTACACTCATGTTGCAATAGTTAATTCATATTAACTGAGTTGAACCCTAGATGAAAATGCATCCTTCCTTGAGCCATAGCTTGTCATCCTCTTTGAGAGCTTCATTGGCCTGGGAAGCACTGGAGAAATCAACTAAAGGAACCAGTTAGCCCAGATGATTGTGAGGGCCCACAGACTCAGAGGACATCAAATTAGAAAGCCAAACCAATGAAAAAGAACTCCACAGCCATCTATTAGCCAAAACCTGTCTTAAATATGAAGTCAGTTTATAAATTTTTATACAGTTTTTACAATTTTTAACTTACTGATCTTGGAAGATTGTCCTTTACAAGTTCTACAACAAGAGAGATAATAAACGTTCTGGGAGTTCAATTATTTTTTAAACTAGATTTTAGGGCACCATTGTTGTTGTTAGTTGCGAAGCCGTGTCCAACCCATCGCGACCCCATGGACAACGTTCCTCCAGGGCCTCCTGTCCTCTACCATCCCCCGGAGTCCATTTTAAGCTCACGCCGACTGTTTCAGTGACTCCATCCAGCCCCCTCGTCCTCTGCTGTCCCCTTCTTCTTTTGCCCTCAATCGTTCCCAGCATTAGGCTCTTCTCCAGGGAGTCCTTCCTTCTCATTAGGTGGCCAAAGTATTTGAGTTTCCTCTTCAAGATCTGGTCTTTGAAAGAGCAGTCAGGGTTGATCTCCTCTAGGACTGACAAGTTTGATCACCTTGCAGTACAAGGGCCTCGCAGGAGTCTTCTCCAGCACCAGACTTCAAAGGCCTCAATTCTTTGGCGCTCAGCCTTCCTTATGGTCCAACTTTCACAGCCATCCATTGCAACTGGGAGAACCATAGCCTTGACTATACGCACTTTTGTTGGCAGGGTGATGTCTCTGCTTTTTAGTATGTTGTCTAGACGTGCCAAAGCTTTCCTCCCCAGGAGCAAGCGTCTTTTAATTTCTTGGCTGCAGTCCCATCTGCGGTGATCTTGGAGCTCAGGAAAATAAAATCTGTCCCTACCTCCACTTCTTCCCCATCTATTTGCCATTAGCTGCACTGATTTTACCTACTATGCTGTTTTCAAAATTGAACAGTGGAATCCGTTTCAGGAGTCTTACAGGGTAAAAATAGACTTCTGGTGCCAGTGCAAAGCATAAGGCACCTAATTTAAGCCTTAAAATCCTTAATTTAATTAAGGATTTAATTAATTAAATCCTTAATTAAATCCTTAAATGCCTTAAAGAAAAACAAAAAGGACCAACATTTTTGGATTTCCTGTTCTAGGAGGATACTGGGAACCATCAAGAAGATACGCCAGTCTGTCTGCATTTAAATTTCTATCAGGAAATTTCTCAATGTTTAGTTAGGAATATACTGTACAGGTAGTCCTCCACTTACAACAGTTCATTTAGTGACTATTGGAAGTTATAATAGCACTAAAAAAAAATGACTTATGGCCTTTTTTTTCCACAACCGCTGATCACATGATCAAAATTAGATGCTTGACAACTGATTCATGTTTATGCCGACTGCAGCAACCCATCGTCACGTAATCTCCTTTTGCGACCTTCTGACAAACAAAGCCCATGGGGAAGCCAGATTCACTTAACAACCGTTACTAACTGAGCAACTGAGCAACAAACTCACTTAACAACTGTGGCAGGAAAGGTCGTAAATTGGAGCAAAGCTCACTTAGGAAGTGTCCCACTGAGCAACAGAAATCTGGGGCTCAACTGTGGTCATGGTTCTACAGCGGAATTATTGAGTCTGTCATCTGCACCTTCATAACTGTCTGGTTTGGTTCTGCAACCCAACAAGACAGACACAGACTTCAGAGGATAATTAGAACTGCAGAAAAAACAATGGCTACCAACCTGCCTTCCATTGAGGACTTGTATACTGCACGAGTCAAAAAGAGGGCTGTGAAAATATCTACAGACCCCTCACATCCTGGACATAAACTGTTTCAACTCCTACCCTTAAAACAACGCCATAGAGCACTGCAGACCAGAACAACTAGACACAAGGACAGTTTTTTCCCCCAAATGCCATCACTCTGCTAAACAAATAATTCCCTCAACACTGTCAAAATATTCACTAAGTATGCATTACCATTACTATTAATCTTCTCATCGTTCCTATCACCCATCTCCTCCCACTTATGACTGCATGACTGTAAACCTTGTTGCTTGATTTATATTGACTGTTTTCTAATATGATTTGATTGCTTATTTGTACCCTTATCATTAAGTGTACAACATTAAGTGTTGCACCTTACGATTCTTGATGAATGTATTTTTTTTATGTACACTGAGAGCATATGCACCAAAGACAAATTCCTTGTGTGTCCAATCACACTTGGCCAATAAAAAATTCCTCTTCTCTTCTCTTCTCTTCTCTTCTCTTCTCTTCTCTTTTCTCTTCTCTTCTCTTCTCTTCTCTTCTCTCTCTTCTCTTCTCTTCTCTTCTCTTCTCCTCTCCTCTCCTCTCCTCTTCTCTTCCCTCCTATCCTATCCTATCCTATCCTATCCTATCCTATCCTATCCATCATTTAACTCTATTCTATTCTATTCTATATTCTATTCTATTCTATTCTATTCTATTCTATTCTATTCTATTCTATTCTATTCTATTCTATTCAGTCGAGGCCTGCCTCTAATTGGCAGAGAGAGAAAAAGAGACTGGTTTCTTTACCGGCAGGTGGCAGTAGATATGTATGAGTGGCTTATGCGTAGCCGAGAATATAGTAAACCTATTCTGAAACAATTTCGCTTTTCTCTGTTTATTTCCCAGGGATTTCAATACAGATGCCAACGACATCCAAATAAAGCAAACAAAACCTTTATGGCACAACTATTTTCTCTGTGGGTTCAAAGGAGTACAGGTGAAGTAACGTCAATTTACATCCTCTTCCTTTGGAATTTTCAGCAAAATGAAAAGCAGAACACAAATGTTCTAATATACACAATACGTTAGAAAGTTAAATGCATGTTGTTTTTTTAAAAAAAAACATGCAGGGAGCACATACTACGTGTACCAAGTTTCTATATTAACTGTGCGTTTATTGATAGGAACTATCTAATAGATCACGTGTAATGTTTAGTATTATAAATCGTAGCTCTTTTCTTTTTTGCAATCTAGACTTCTAAATGCTGCCAAGTCACCCCTTGGAAATTTCAGTGTTACTTTTCACAATTCCTCTGTATGAAATTATTTTTAAAACCGAAGACCGCATCCCGTGGCACAATCTGTTTATATTAAACTGAGCCCATTATCCACTGGAAAGAAACATCCTGCCCAGCTCCATAAATAAAACGAAAAACAAAACAAAACAAAAAAAAGTTTTGAGTCAGAGACTTTGTTCTCCCTCCATATACATATTCCATAATAAATGTGAAAGTTTGATCCGTCTTCAAAGGAATGCCTGCTAATCCATTTCTGGTTAACAATCTGATGGATTTCTCCTTGTTGGGAAATTGTCAGAGAGGAGGCCTCACAGCAAGTAGTTTTGTGTGCCTAAAAGGAGATTTTTTTTTTTTTTTTAAATTGTGGGCAATTTAGTGCGCAAGAACGTGTTTAACTTGAACTGTCTTCTGTGGGTGTTGCAGGAATCCTGCTGTTGCTGTCTAATGCTGGAAGTATGTCAAGAGGGTTGAAGGGGACTCGGCCTTTCTAAAACAGTTCAGGCCTTCTGCAGATTGCCAATTTTTCTTAGTAATATAAGCATGTTGCAAACATAAGAATTTGTGGTACTGGATTCGATCAGGATTGCCCAAATGGATCCAGAAACAAGCAGCTTTGTCAGCACATACCGTATTTTTTTGAGTATATGACACATCTTTTTCCCCCCTTAAAAGGGGGTGAAAATTATACACCAAATGTAGTCCCGCCTACTCACTGGCCCCCACCCTTTGGCCTCTGCCTCACAGTAATTTACCTCCTTGCAGCAAGCACCAAGAAGAAACAGCCCATTTCAGCTTCAGCACAGCCTAATTAGCACAAGTTGATTGGTTCGGCCTCCCGACTCTCAGCTGTTTTGCTCTCAGCTGTTTTGTGGGTGCCTCTGCTGCTTGCTGCAAGGAGGTAAATTGCTGGAGCAGATTTTTTTTCCCTTGTGCTAATCAAGCTATGCTGAAAACGAAAATGAAAGTAAAGCAGGCTGTTTGCTGCAATGAGGCAAAATTGCTGGGATGCAGAGGCAGATTTCTTTTTGTTTTCCTTACCAAAAAAGGTAGGTGCGTCTTATAGTCCAGTGTGTCTTATGCTCCGAAAAATATGGTAACATAAAGCTTTGGAATTCAGAGGTTCAGTTTAGCAGAGTTAAAAGACAATTAACAGATTGGGCCTCCAAGGTTTTCCCACAGTGTTTGAAACCTCAATAACTTTTAAGATGTGTGGATTTCAGCTCCCCAAATCCCCCCCAACCAGCTGACACGGAGGACACTCTATGCCCTCCAGAGAAATAGGCTTGAACTCCCAGAATTCTTAGCTTGTTTGATCATTGCTGATAATTCTGGAATTTCAATTTTCCCCAGATATATAAAACTTGAAGCAGAAAGCTCTCTACTTTGTAAAGGTAAAGGTTTCCCTCGCACATATGTGCTAGTTGTTTCCAACTCTAGGGGGCGGTGCTCATCTCCGTTTCAAACCCGAAGAGCCAGCACTGTCCGAAGACGTCTCCGTGATCATGTGGCCGGCATGACTCAATGCCAAAGGCACACGGAACGCTGTTCCCTTCCCACCAAAGGTGGTCCCTATTTTTCTACTTGCATTTTTTACATGCTTTCGAACTGCTAGGTTGGCAGAAGCTGGGACGAGTAAAGGGAGCTCACCCCATTACGCGGCACTAGGGATTCGAACTTCTGAACTGCCGACCTTTCGATCGACAAGCTCAGTGTCTTAGCCACTGAGCCACCACATCCCTCAATTACTTTGTAGCAAGGTACTTTAGATGAATGTAGATCAGGGGTTCCCGATCTGAGCAACTTTAACCCCGGCCCTCCGAGATCAAACATAACCCTGTTGTGGCCCTCAATGAAATTGAGTTTGATCCCCCTGATCTAGAGGATGCCAAGTCAGGGAAGGCTTCTTTAAAACCTTCTGCCTAACAGAAAAACGATTGACTGTCCTCAGGTATAACTTAAAGCAGAGTAGGACAGCTTGAGATCCAACCGGATCCATCTTGGAAGCTTCCTCTACGGGAATTTGCTGTATGTTACCACCATGGCTTTTCTGCCTTGTTTCCACCTGGAAACAAATATAAACCTGTAACATGTTTTCTAAAACTTAAGAAAGCCCTCCAAACCTCAACAAAATTTCACAAACCACTTAGCCTTCTCTCATACTCTGAGCAAATGCAGCTCACAACCACCCAAAGACATCCTCCAAATAGTAAGCCATCAAACAGAAAAAGAGATATGAATGAGGATATTGCTCTTCTAGTCACTATGACCAGTGGTGGGATCCTCCTGGTTTCATAACTGGTTCGGTGATCGCGTGTGCACACAGTTTGAACAAATGTTCACTTCCGGGCTTCTTCGTAGGAGTAACACAGCTGATTCACGTGGCTATCGGCTCTGCCGCATGAATCAGCTGAGGAGATACAGGTAGGAAAATAGTACAGGGGGCCGGGTGGGCCCATCTGATTGTCTGGGGTGAACCAATTCGCTCACAGCTGATCATCGTAGCTACCGGTTCGCTAGAACCGGTCCGAACTGATAGAATCCTACCACTGACTATGACCCAAAGCAGCTGAGCAGTTTTTTTTTTTAAATTAAGCATAAAAAGGAAGGTCTTAAGTTCATGCATGTCTCTTGTTTAGTTCATCAAGGACAAGATCATATAAAAAGCAAAATGGGGTACGACGGTTATGGACAATTAATACAAATAAAATATATACGATTTTTGCTTATATTACATGAGCTGTGGTGGTTAGAGTGCAGTACTGCAGGCTACTTCTGCTGACTGCCTGCAATTTGGCAGTTTGAATCTTACCAGGCTCAAGGTTGACTCAGCCTTCCATCCTTCTGAGATGGGTAAAATGAGGACCCACATTGTTGGGGAGAATATGCTGACTCTGTAAACTGCTTAGAGAGGGCTGTAAAGCACTGTAAAGTGGTATATAAGTCTAAGTGCTATTGCTATTCCTTCCTTCCTTCCTTCCTCCCTCCCTCCCTCTCCCTCCTTCCTCCCTCCCTCCCTTCCTATCTTATTCCCTTTCTCATTCTCCTTTCTCATGGTGCAGTGTGAGAATCCAGTATTGCAGGCTAACTCTGCCCACAGTCAGGGGTTCGATCCTGACTGGCTCAAGGTTGACTCAGCCTTCCATCCTTCTGAGGTGGGTAAAATGAGGACCCACATTGTTGGGGAAAATATGCTGACTCTGTAAACTGTTTAGAGAGGGCTGTAAAGCGGTATATAAGTCTTAAGTGCTATTGCTATTATCCTGTAATTTGCAATCAAGTTCAGCTCAGTGGTTTATCTTGGTCTTTTGTTATAAAAATGCATGCGAAGAACTATATCTGTTTTCTAATTGTAGTATTAATTATCCTCTCTAGGTTTAGATCTGCGGTTCAGCCCCCAGAAAGCACCACACAATTACAATGTTCTCCAAAAGCTATTTTCAGGAATTATATGGACCCTGATGATTGTGTCTAGGCATCCAGCCATGAGCCTCAGCTGCAGGTTTCATGCTGCAGTTCTTTGGATGCTGAGCGTAACACATTTTTCTGCTTAATTTGACATCTCGTATTTAAATGACTTGAGTCACATTGGGAACAAAAATCAGCTAGATTAATGGAAAAACGGGAAAGAACACCATGCAAGTTGCATGCGATTTTCAGGAAATCGCATGAGAAAATCTTGAAATTTCTTCTAAAATAAAATCCACATCCAGGCCCAAAACAGCTTCCATTGGTTCCATTCCATCTGCAATGGTAATAAAAATAAAGATCCGATATACTTTTCTTAGGAATCAGAAATACACATCAATTCCCTTGCAGAGCAAGCGGTTATGGCTTCCAAACATTTGAGGTCAGGAATGTAAGTGGTTTTTTTATCTTCCAAGCTTGATTTCAGCTCAAAGGGAGAAAAAATAATGTAGCCAAAAATAGGAAAGAAATTGTTTTATGGAATGACGCAGTTGATAAGAGCAAAGTAGTAAGGAGGAGAGCAATGGCCATCACGCTTCCTGGCCAAATTAAAACAGACACAAAAGGTCATGTTATAATACATGGACAGCAATTACTGACTTCTGGATGGCCACTAAAATAATTTGGACATTTGAAGAGCAGATACCTAATCTCTGTTAAATTGGCTGCTGAGTTTAACTTGGCCAATAGCTCAGTTTTTCTGTTTTTTTCTAATAGCCTATGGAACGGTTAGTGAATTCACAGCATCTATCCATTTCTACTTCTTCTTTGATAAAAATAAATCCATAACCAGCAGAACCATAACAAAGCACTCCTAAGACCACTTGATGTATTCAGAAATGAATACGGTTGGAGAAATAATCAGATTGAACTCATCCTTCCTACTTTTTTGCACCATTGTATGGCCAAAACTGCATTTGGAAATGGAGAATAAATTTATGCAAAGTTTGTTTGGTGATGAAAGACATTCGCACCCATGCGTTTTACATGCATTCTGTTTGATCATCTGAAAACCAGATTAAGAAGTTGGGAGGGGGGGAAGTATGTATGAAACGGGCTTCTTCATTCTAATTCATTGCACAAGGTACATCTTTTATTGTAGAAGTCTTATTTCTCCAGGGTTTAGATTAGAGCTGGCTTCCTTCTCAGCAATTAAAGGCCAAGGAGAATAATTCATTAAACCTTTTTCAAGAAATGTGGAAGCCCAGGAGGAGGCAAAGTAGAGCTGTGGGACGAAATATATTAATTACCTTGCAACTTTAAAGTGAGCTTAGGAACATCGTCCAAAAGAATTTGAAAGCATCCTGAGAATGAGGCAGTAAAAATATTGTTTGTGAGGAATACATTTTTCAGAAAACTGGAAAACAGATTTCAGCCATACAAATTACCTAATGATGTAACACTTGTTTGTTTTAAGGAATCTAGCTCAATTATATTCTGGACCTGCCTAGTTCTCTGAAAATAGGTCCAGACTGCTATGTATGTGCTGCCCAGGAAGCCATGAAAATTATGTGTCTGTGTGTATGTGCGTATATACGGTACATACACATACAGGAAATCCTCGACTTATGACCACAGCTGAGCTCAAAATTTCCCTTGGTGAACACACAGTTATTAAGCAAGTTTCGCCTCATTTTACGACCTTTCTGGCCACAGTTGTTAAGTGAATCACGGCAGTTGTTTAGTTACACAGTTGCTAAGTGAATCTGCCTTCTCCGTTGATGTCAACTCATAAAGCATTCCAGGCCTGCTTTCGAGTTGCCATAAGGAGGAGGCGGGAGCACATTCCACGCATACCTTTCTCCACATTGAATCACAGGTTACCCTAGCCAGCAGGAGAGGAGTGTTTTCTACAGCCCGGGAAAGTGCTCCGTTGGAGAATGTGATTTATGACATACCCAGGGGGAGGGGGGAAACATGGTCACAGTGGGCCGTAAATTACGTAGGGCAGAACTGACTCCACTTGGATAAGTGCCGACATGTTGCTCCTAATAAATAACTGGATTTCTTTTGAAACCTGGCTCGAGGCTCATGAATTAATTAGGGCATCCGTCAACAGTTGATGTTGTTTGTCAGAAGGTCGCGAAAGGGAATCACATGACCTGGAGACATGGCGACCGTCATAAATATGAGTCAGTTGTCGAGCATGCGAATTTTGATCACAGGGATGCGGCAGTAAGTGTGACAAACGGTCATAAGCCACTTTGTTCCAATGCTGTTGAAATGGTCGCTAAATAAACTGTGGTAAGCCGAGGACGTTTTGTTGTATGAAAACCAGCTTTCCTCGTCCCACGAAGAAGACAACGGTTTTAGTTCTTTTGAAACAGAGAAATCAATTTATCTTGTATTTTCAGGATCACTTCAGTCTGAGGAACCCGAGCGGAATTAACTGCCTGGTGGAAGGCACAATTCCTCCAAGTTCCGGTTTATCCAGCTCCAGCGCTTTGGTCTGCTGTGCGGGACTTGTGACTCTCATGGCCAATGGCAAGACCCTTTCAAAGGTAAGGTGGGAAGGAGGCCCAGGCTCTGCAACGGACTGTTAAAATTGAAGCTGGTGAATTGACATACCGTATTTTTGGGAGTATAAGACGCACCTTAGTTTTTGGGGAGGAAAATAGGGGTGGGTGGGAAATTCTGCCTACCAGGTATTCATCTGGCTCATCCTTAGTCTGGTCAGCTTCAGCACATTAGTTCACTGGTTTTGAGCGTTGGGGATAAAAAAACAGCTTCTAAAGCACAGCTGATCTTCAGAGAGAGAAGCAATGAGAAAAGCAGGTGAAGCGCGGAAGATAGTTTCACTCGCTAGCGCCTCATTAGGGCTGAAAAAAAGCTTCGAAAAAGCTACATTCAGAATATAAGACGTACCCAAATTTTCAGCCTCTTTTAGGGGAGGAAAAAGTGCATCTTAAACTCCGAAAAATACGGTAATTTTTTAAAAAGAAATTCTCGAAACTACGAATTGTTTCCACAGTTAGTAGCTGGGGAGTTTATCTTTGAAGTAGACCGATGGAAATTTTGAGAGTGTGTTGTGGGGTCTGACTCAAAGGGCCGTTTAAAATAAGACGGTTATAATAATTATTTGTATCCTTTCAAGGGTTCTTCCGAAATGCAATGCAAACAAATGGTAAATAAAAAGGCAGTAAATATTTAACAGCAAATCTAGTCATGTTTTGGATTCTTCTCATTGGGGGAATGAATGGGCCTTGGGTGGGTGGAAGATGGAAGGGAGAGAAGAATCTAACTGGAGCAGGTTGTAGGGTTGATGGCCTCTTGTAGATTTCAACCTTCCAGTTGACCAGAAAAGTATTAGGTTGACTCAGCCGTCCATCCTTCTGAGGTGGGTAAAATGAGCACCCAGAGTTGAGGAAGGAGAGAATTTCACACCTCTTTTAGCAACGTACTTAATTGATTGTTATTTTAAATGTAATCGAAATAAATACGAAGCTTTAAGTATGCTGCAGAAAGAGGCATGAAATTCTCTTCTTACCAAATTTGGGCTAGAGTGCAGGGTTGCATTACAGCATTTCAAACTGAAATGCTAACATCAACACTGCCTGCATTTCACTGAACGCGTCTGTCAACCTACCCAATATTGTCCCTAAACAAAAAACAGTAGGTAGCAACAATGGTAATAGCGCTTATATACTGCTTCACAGTGTTTTACAGCCCACTCCAGGGGTGAAATTCAGCAGGTTCTGACAGATTCTGGAGAACTGGTAGCAGAAATTTTGAGTAATTTGGAGAACCGGCAAATACCAGCTACCGGTTCTCCTAACTGCTCAAAATTTCCTCTACCAGTTCTCTGAACTGCTCAAAATTTCCACTACCAGTTCTTCAAACTACTCAAAATTTCCGCTGCTGGTTCTCCCAACTGCTCAAAATTTCCGCTATCGGTTCTCCGAACTGCTCAAAATTTCCGCTACCGGTTCTCCAAACTGCTCAAAATTTCCGCTACCGGTTCTCCAAACTGCTCAAAATTTCCACTACCGGTTCTCCAAACTGCTCAAAATTTCCGCTATCGGTTCTCAAACTGCTCAAAATTTCCACTACCAGTTCTCCAAACTGCTCAAAATTTCCACTACCGGTTCTCCTAACTGCTCAAACTTTCCACTACCGGTTCTCCAAACTGCTCAAAATTTCCACTACCGGTTCTCCTAACTGCTCAAAATTTCCACTACCGGTTCTCCAAACTGCTCAAAATTTCCGCTATCGGTTCTCCAAACTGCTCAAAATTTCTGCTACCAGTTCTCCAGAACCTGTCAGAACCTGCTGGATTTCACCCCTGGTTTTGAAAAAACAGGCTCCATCTCAATAACCCCTATCACCAAATACCATCAATTCTCAAACTGGTAAACCCAACCCCTGACCTGGAAAGACTCTTGAGAATTAGAACCTTTTACATCCTGGAAACCAATTAAAGAACAGAAAGCGAGAGAGCTGGAATGAATGGCTATTACTCACAATTATCCTAGTTTACAGAAGAGAAAACGCAGAGGTCAAGGAAGTAACCTCCTGCCACGGATGAGGCAAGGAGGCAATCTGGAGATTATCCAAAGATCAGCCACAAGACTGGGCTGAAATGAAGCAAGAGGGCTCGAACCTTGAGCAAGAAAACCTTTAACAAGAGAGGATTACAAAACCATCCATAATCAGGAGCTTGGCACATGACCTAGATCAGAATACCCTGCCTGACCCCAATACGGTTCCATCCCAAGGCTGTAATTGAGCGAAGGCTTTCATCCTTGGCCTACAAAAGCTTCATCCCAGCATCAGAAGTTGCTCATTAAGGCGGGCCAAATACACGGAACTTCGGGAGTAGACCATGATGTCAAGGGAGTCTTCTTACAACCGGACACTCTGTCCCGATAAACGTGATCTGGATAGTTGAGAATCTCCATAGACAACCGAGCGTTCCTGCATTTCCCAGCTGCAGATCCTGAACTGGCCACATTCTTCAGACCTCTAGATACTTTCCTGCTCTGGGGCAGACTCGGCTGCTCCTTATGGAGGGTGGATCAGGGACAGCCTCCGTAGCATCCTGGGCTTCTGCCTCATGCTTGGATGAGTTCCTCTAAAGGTGGGAGCATAAGTTAGCAACAAAGGATGTAACTTTCAGCTTTGGATGAAAAGCAACTGCTGCACCACCATTAGATGGCGGTGGGGATTTTTTTGCCACCTAATGGTCCTCCTAATCAGGGGTGGGCTGCTGGGAGTTCGCAGGGGTTCGGGAGAACCTCTAGCTAAGATTCTGTGCAGTTCGGAGAACCCCCAAATCCCACTCCTGGCTTGGGGAGGGCAAAAAATGGGCCTGTTTCTGGCCTCCAGAGGCTGTTTTCACCCTCATGGAGGCTTGAGAAAAGCCTCCGGAGCTAGGGGAGGGCAAAGACGCCCCCCTCCCGGCCGTGGTGCAGGAGGCCGACTAAGCCATGCCCACCATGGCCACTCCCACCCCTGCAAACTGACAGAGAACCCCTTGCTAAAATTTTTGAAGCCCACCCCTGCTCCTAATGTAACAGATGATACTTCTGCTGAGATCAATATGACTGTTTGCTCAAAGTAGAACTTGGTGTTGTAGTCAAAACAGAGAAGAATTAGATTCCACTAGTCTTCTAGGTTTTAACCTACAGCAGAGGTCTTCAAAGTTGGCAGCTTTAAGACCTCTGACCTACAGGATTGGGTCAAATGCAAGGTTTTAACTACTGAGCTTGTCCATGTCCAAGGAAAATAATAATACAAATATCGAAAGTATGTTTTGTTTCAAAGCTCCAAACTTACAGTGAAAAGCAAAGGAATCAAAATCGGCAAAAGGACTTGTTCGAAACACAATTATCCTCCAAAATTGGTCTGCTTTGTTAAGGTTTGTGACCATATTTAGCATGTATTGAGCGAATGGGAGCCGTTTTGCAGGCTGTGGCACTGTTCTTGATAATGTTGTTTTTCTGCTCTTCTAATTAGATATTTTCTGATTAAACGTTATTTCATTGCATAAACATAAAAAGCCTAAACACAGCCTCTTGTATAACCACCAATGATAAACATTCTTAGTTCATGTGCTGTCAATCTGGGATTAATAGCTGCCAACTGATACAAACATCCGGATTATATTTGCAAAAAAAAAAAAAAAAGACGTTTTGAAAACCAAGCATCCAACTTTTTTGCTTGCTTTAGAAAAAGGTGAGGGAGGCTGCGACAGAATACAGAGTAACAAAGTTGGAGGGGACCTTGGAGGTCTTCTAGTCCAACCTCCTGCTCAAGTAGAAGACCCTATACCAGTGATGGCTAACCTTTTTGCCATCACGTGCCAAAAGCAGGGGCAGCACCCTTAATTCTATGCGCCCCACCCCCACGCTCCCCACACTTTTGGCACTCAATGGCCCAGTGGGCCCGGTAGGCCCATTTTTCACCCTCCCCAGGCTCCAGAGCCTTTCTAGGAGATTGGGGAGGGCGAAAACGGCCTTCCCCACCCACCCCCGGAGGCCCTCCGTAGGCTGGAAATGGCTCGTTTGCTGACTTCCGGTCCCCCATAGAGCCTCCGGGGGGATGGGGAAGTCCGTTTACTCTCTTCTCAGGCTCCTAGAAAGGCTCTGGAGCCTGGGGAGAGCACAAAACAAGCCTTCCACACACTCCCAGGCCCTCTGGAGGCAGGAAACAGTCTGTTTCCCTACTTCTGGTGGGCCCAGAAGGCCCCAAAATCAGCTGGCTGGCGCACACATGCACACCGGGGCTGAGCTCACATGCCCACCTATTACAGCCCTATACCATTCCAGTCAAGTGGCTATCCAATCTCTTCCTGAACACCTCCAGAGAGAACAAGCTTTCCTCACTATTCCATTCTAGCTACATCACGTTCCACCTAGTCACTTGAAACAATAGTTAAAAAGCAGAGCCCATCTAAGAGATTTGGTTGTCCAGGCAAAATGCAGGATGTATTTTGTAATAAGCTGACTTTGTATATATATATAAAAAAAGAACACCGCTTGGGGGGGCTGAAAGCCCTACTAAGCAGGTATATACAAAAGTATGAAGGCTATTGCTTAACGCACTGTAAGCCGCCCTGAGTCTCCGGAGAAGGGCGGCATATAAATCGAACCAATAAATAAATAAATAAATAAATAATGTCCACTGAAGTCATAATATGCAAAATCTGCCACATAAGAGAACCTCTTCATGCTATCTGGTGGTGATAAGAACAACTAGGTTTAACGTCAGTGTGCATCATGCTTCTTGAGACTAACAGACCGGAAGCAGCAGGTGAAGCTAAGCAGAATCACACCATGAGGTGGCTTAAGACATGGTCTACTTCTTCAGCGAAGACATGGATCCAAAATGGAGGGTCTTTGTTGTTTCGTAAAGATTGTTGAAAGCCCTCAGAATTTCCCCCCACCCCCCATCGTAGTCTCACCTCCAACTTAGCATGAACGCTGAATTCTGTAAATCAAGCTCGATGTATCACAGCGGAAACACATCCGTGTTTACTGGGTGAGTGACTCAGTGCAACAGTAGACAAACAAGGAGAAACCTTTTCCATTAAGCGTGACATCGATTAGATAAATGTTTTATCTTTTACTATTTCCCATAAATAGATTTAGAGATGGTTCTTGGAGTAGAAATCCTAGTGCTGAACAGGCTAAGATAAATACCGCCTGCTCTTTTCATCTATCAGGCAGTGATTAAAATTCCGGCAGTTCATTATTAGCGATTTTTTTTTTTGAGTTTACCTCCAAAGAGCACTGAAGGAGATACAGTCACTTTTTTGTCTTCTGTATTAAAAACATCTGTCGGATCTGGACAATCGGTCGTGCGGGTGGGGTGGGGTGGGGGCTTCCAGTTCTACTCACACGTTTTCTGAAGCATTTCTACACATTTCAAGTTTGTTAATCCCCTTTTTGACAGTTCTATCTTCTCCACTAAGAGTTTATGAGGGAACTGACATAGCTGAAGGAGAGTTGTGAAACCGCTCTATCGGTTTTCCATGTCGTATTTGCGAGCCCTTCGCTCTGATCAGGCAGCTCCCAGCTCTCATTTTTTACAGCTGAAGTCTGTTTTCAGTGCCTTTATGGAAACAAAAAGTGGGCAGGCCTCCGCATTCCAAGCTAAGGATTTGTTGGCTTTATCTTACAACATGTACTGGATAATGTCTCCTTGGTTGTGCTCTAGCTTAAATCGCTGCAGCTTTATAAGCAGGGAAGAAATGTTTGTAATCCTTTTTTAAAATATATACATACATACATACATACATACATACATACATACATACATATATGCAAGTCTTAGTGTATTCGGGTCTTTTCCCGTATAAGATTGAGAGTATCTTGGCGACGTTTCAACGAGGTCCCACTTGTCATTTTCAAGCTGGTGTCTTCGGCTTCGTGCCTGTGCGAGCAAAAGGCACGAAGCCGAAGACACCAGCCTGAAGATGACAAGTGGGACCTTGTCGAAATGTCGCCAAGATACTCTCAATCTTACCCAGGAAAAGACCCGAATACACCAAGACTTGGATTGGGGCTGAAAGACGAAAGGGATGCAGTATACTCCCTCCCACATGCTGGGGTAGACCAGGTGCCTCGATAGAAAAACACTTAATCTCTCCCCTGACTCAAGCTGATGAAGGGAGGAGAACTTGTGGCTCAGAGGTTAATACAACTGCCTAACGTGCAGGCAGCCCAAGTTCGAATCCAAGTATGAGTATGGCTAGCTGATGAGAACTAAATAGCTTGAAATAGATCTATACTAGTCTCCATTTATTTCTTTATCAGTGAAATATAAATTTGATATCTATATCTATCTATATCTATCTATCTATATCTATCTATCTATCTATCTATCTATCTATCTATCTATCTATCTATCTATCTATATTTTAAGGGAAAAGAAGTTTGCAATCATGATATCCTGGGCTTTGTACATTTAGGAACAGGTTTTCTGATCTGTCCTTCAGACTTTTGAACTTCAGCTGCCATAAACCTGCCGATAGAATGGGAAATAAATAAAGAATAATAAAGAAATAAATGAAGTTCAAGACATCGGTGGCAATCAGCTGATTGGCCAAGGCTGACATGAAGGGAGGAAAACCTAAATATTCCCCTCCGTAGCTCAGTTTGTAAACTAGTCTTGGATTTCTCTGTGTGTAATTTTCAAGTATTCCTACTGGTCTTTTTTGGGGAAAGAGTGATTACTGGTATAACCTGCCACGAAGACAACCAGGAAAGATTCCTGGGCAGGACCTCTTATTCAAGCAGTATTAGCAAGCGCTGTTTAAGGATCTTTCAAAGAATAGAATAACAGAGTTGGAAAGGGACCTTGGAGGTCTTCTAGTCCAACCCCCTGCCCAGGCAGGAAACCCTACACCACTTCAGACAAATGGTTATCTAACATCTTCTTAAAAATTTCCAGTGTTGGAGCATTCACAACTTCTGGAGGCAAGTCGTTCCACTGATTAATTGTTCTAACTGTCAGGAAATTTCTCCTTAGTTCTCAGTTGCTTCTCTCCTTGATTAGTTTCCACCCATTGCTTCTTGTCCTGCTTTGGAGAATAGCTTGACTTCTTTGTGGCAGCCCCTGAGATATTGGAAGACTGCTATCATGTCTCCGCTAGTCCTTCTTTTGATCATACTTAGACATACCATCTTTGCCTCCATAGAGCAAAATCAGTGCTGCATTCAGTCTCACGTATTCCTGTTTAAGCCACTGATTGTTGAGGTTGCTGGACAAGACCTCAGAGCTCTGGCCTAAGGCCAGCCTAGCCAGCCATGATCCCAACCCCCTCAAAGTAGCCAAGAGAGGCAGAAATGACCGGCCTGTCAAGATCTAGCAGCTTAAGAGAACCGTTTGTTCCTGAGAAATTCATGACTCTGTCGGAGTGAAAGAGAGACATAGAAAGAGGGTTCAGGAAGGCTGATACCAGCTTACAGATGCAACGATGTGATAATTAGCTCATGGAGTTCAGAATGCATGGAACGAGAGCGATCTCAGAGTTATCCCAGCACCGTGTCAGATCTGTTGTAAGGAACGCCTGCAGGGATATCCTCTAAATCAGGGGTGTCAAAACTCAATTTCATTGAGGGCTACATCAGGGCTGTGGTTGACCTCGGGGGGCCAGGCAGTTGTCGCCAACTGGGTGGCCGTGGGCAGCTTGATGCCACTCCCCAAACTGCTGGCATGTTTCCTCTTTGCATTGGATAGACCAGGCCGAAGCGATGCGGGTAGACCGGGCTGAAGCAACGCTGGCCCAATATTTCCTCTTCGCAATGGGTAGACTGGGCTGAAGTGACACAGGTAGACCAGGACGGCCCTGCCGGCTGGATCCGGTCCGTAGGCCTTGAGTTTGATACCCCTGCTCTAAACTCTCTCTGCCTTGACCATTGTGTCCCCATAGGTGGAACTGGCTGATCTGTGCAGCAAGAGCGAACGTTACATTGGCACCGAAGGAGGCGGCATGGACCAGTCCATCTGTTTCCTGGCAGAAAAGGGAACCGTACGTACCGCCTGAACCGTTAAGGAAAGCGTTCAAGAGATGCTTTTGGGGAAATTGACACGATAAGGAAACAGGCGAAAGAGCTGTAATATGTGTGGTGTTATCAGGAGGGGTGAAATGTTGAGTGTCGTCTCGATCTCTCTTATAATTGGACACGTTTAAGTTTTGCAAGACTTTCAGGGGTCGGTGTTGCTTTGATTAATCCTGCTGTATTATAATGACTATCAAGTTTGTCAATTATGGAAGGCAAAACAAAATCAAAGGAACGTTAATGATATTCCGAATGATAAAACTGAGAAACTTACTCTAGTGGGCTGAAATGTGCTCAGATCCAATGGGTAACTTTGTACCGGTGTTTATAAGTAGCTTAATTTGGGTCGGATGTTGGTTTTTCCCAGTGGTGAAATCCAAATTTTTTTACTACCAGTTCTGTGGGCATGGCTTGATGGGCATGGTGTTGCTTAGTGGGTGTGGCAGGGAAAGAATACTGCAAAATCTCCATTCCCACCCCACTCCAGGGGAAGGACACTGCAAAATCTCCATTCCCACCCCCCACTCCAGGGGAAGGACACTGCAAAATCTCCATTCCCACCCCACTCTGGGGCCAGCCAGAGGTGGCGTTTGCCGGTTCTCCGAACTGCTCAAAATTTCCGCTACCGGTTCTCCAGAACCTGTCAGAACCTGCTGGATTTCACCCCTGGTTTTTTCTTTACTAATTTGAGATTCCCTGAGATGAAGGAGGAAAAATGTCCAAAGCTAAAGCGGGGGGGGGGGGGGAGTGGGGGAGCTTTGATTTATCGATCCTAAACACAGCCAGGCTACCCGTTGAAACTGCTCTCTTCCTCTTCTGTAGGCAAAGCTGATAGAATTTAATCCTCTGAAGGCAACTGACGTGAAGCTTCCAGGAGGAGCCGTTTTTGTGATTGCAAACAGTTGCGTTGAAATGAACAAGGCCGCCACTTCTCATTTCAATATTAGGGTGATGGAGTGTCGTCTGGCTACAAAGGTACTGCATGGCTTTCATCAAACTCTAATGAAACCATCACCCAAGTATGTGCTGGCTGGAACGCCCCTTCCACTCTACCAGTTGTTGCTTTATTTTAACACCAGGTCAGGTGCCGCCTCCAAGGGCATGTTTATCTCCCCGGGAATCTGGACTCAGGCCATATATACATGATGGATGGAAGTCAGGCTAGTAAAAGAGATCTGCCTGGGAAGGAAGGAAGGAAGGAAGGGCCTTTCTTGAGACGGATTCTCACGCGAGGATGTTTCCTCGGCCATGGAAAGGGAAGCTTTTTCACAAGAGACCAGGAGCTGGAAAAAAAAGAAAAGAAAGGCAACACGTTAAAAATCAAGTTTCTGAGATTGGTGTTCAGGAACACTTGGGGCAAAAGGTTTGATCAGGAACCACCAGAACTACTGCGTACCTAATATTATGTCAAGGTTATAGTAAGCCGTCCAATAAGAGAATTGTGCTGACTAAGAAAGGAAGGAAGAATAGGTGCATCTTATACTCCGAAAAATATGGTATTCTCCAAAGCACCTGAGGGCAGGACAAGAAGCAATGGGTGGAAATTAATCAAGGAGAGAAGCAATCTAGAACTAAGGAGACATTTCCTGACAGTTAGCACAATTAACCAGTGGAACAGCTTGCCACCAGAAGTTGTGAATGCTCCAACACTGGAAGTTTTAAAGAAGATGTTGGATAACCATTTGTCTGAAGTGGTGTAGGATTTCCTGCCTAAGCAGGGGGTTGGACTAGAAGACCTCCAAGGTCCCTTCCAACTCTGTTATTCTATTCTATTCTATTCTATTCTATTCTATTCTATTCTATTCTAAATCACTAACCTCGAGCCGTTTCTCTGTTCACCCAAAGGTTGCTGGGCCAACTTGGATTCCTGGAATTGTTTTAGCAATCTCATCAAATTACACTTTCCTGGATTCTTCGGGATGGTGGGGGGAAGGGAGGGAAACAGGCAAAACCGTTAACTGGAATGAAAACTATATAAATGTGTAGCGTTAAGAATGTAGTTCCCAACCGAGCCTACAGCCTGACAGCAATATCCAGGCAGAAGTGCCAGAAAAGAGGAACATTATCTTGGCAGCGAAAGGCTAGCCTGGAAGAGACAACAAGCCAACCCTTTCGCCATCTGATTGTTAACTGCCAGGAAATGCCTTGCTTTGGAGTCATGATTATCAAATGAAGTGCAAGAGAAAGTTTGACCAATCCTTAACATTAAACAAAGGGAAAAAATACCGTTGCTCTCGGAAGACGACTCCGTCCCCTTTGAAGGAAGCTTAGCGCAAGCGTAAGAGAAGTTCTGTATGGTGTCGCCCTTCCAATACAGTTTTCCTTGGGGGCAGGGGTGAAATCCAGCAGGTTCTGACAAGTTCTGGAGAACCGGCAGCGGAAATTTTGAGTAGTTCGGAGAACCGGCAAATGCCACCTCTGGCTGGCCCCAGAGTGGGGTGGGAATGGAGATTTTGCAATATCATTCCCCCTAGAGTGGGGAGGGAATGGAGATTTTGCAGTATCCTTCCCCTGGAGTGGGGAGGGAATGGAGATTTTGCAGTATCCTTCCCCCTGGAGTGGGGAGGGAATGGAGATTTTGCAATATCCTTCCCCTGGAGTGGGGAGGGAATGCAAGCTAACTCTGCCTACTGCCAGCAGTTCAATCCTGACTGGCTCAAAGTTGACTCAGCCTTCCATCCTTCCGAGGTGGGTAAAATGAGGACCCAGATTGTTGGGGGTCAATATGCTGACTCTGTAAACTGCTTAGAGGGGGCTGTAAAAGCACCATGAAGCAGTATATAAGTCTAAGTGCTATTGCTATTGCTAGAGAAATGAAATCCAAAGCCTTAAGGGAGATATATGGGGGTTGACCGTTAATTTTTTGGCCGAACTGAATCCCCAATAATGTTCTCCATTTTTAGGAACTGACAGTGACACTTGCCTTACCTGGCAGTACATCCATCTGAAGTGACTTTGGGGAGGCTTTTGGATTGAATTGAAAAAAAGAAAAGAAAAACAGCCTCAGGAAGGTCACTAGATGGCACCAAAAGTAATTAATGTTGTAATAATTAACAAGGAAAACAAAACAGGAGGGATGGAGATAAACAGAACCAAAAGACGCAATTAGCTCTACTCGCAGTAGCTCTAATGTATTAATTACATTAATCTTTCTAATGTTTTCCCACCCTCGGTATATAGCTTTATTTTTTTCCCAGCTTAAAAAAAACAAGGAAGAGTCTGGTGGGGCCTTTTCCGACTAGCACATTTTATTCACCCTCCAGAGCTTTGCAGCAAGGAGGAGGTTACAGTGGAAATACAGTGTCCCGGTCTGCATTTTTTTCTGCCTTTCTCTCACCGTTTGTCCTTTTCCTACTAACCGACCTCCTTCATGTGCCACAGTAGCCTGAGCTCAGAGAGCTGGGGCGTCTCAGCCCCGTTGCCTGTGCCTGTCTTTAGGGGAGAGCTAAATGCATTTTTCCAGCATGATTGAGGAGTGGGAGTGCAGTGTGCAGGGAAGAAGAAGGAGAGAAGAAGAGAAGAAGAGGAAGAAGGAAAGAAGAAGAGGAGGAGGAGGAGGAGGAGGAGGAGAAGGAAAGAAGAAGAAAAGAAGAAGAGGAAGGGGAAGAAGGAAAGAAGAGGAGGAGGAGGAAAGAAGAAGAGAAGGAAAGAAGAGGAGGAAAGAAGAAGAGAAGGAGAAGACAAGAAGAAGGAGGAGAAGGAAAGAAGAAGAGAAGGAGGAGGAAAGAAGAAGAGAAGGAGAAGGAAAGAAGGAGGAAAGAAAAAAGAGGAAGTGAAGGAGAAGGAAGGAAGAAGAGGAGGAAAGAAGAAAAGGAAAGAAGAAGAGGAGGAAAGAAGAAGAGAAGGAGGAAAGAAGAGGAGGAGGAAAGAAGAAGAAGAGAAGGAGAAGGAAGGAAGGAAGAAGAAGAGGAGGAGGAGGAGGAGGAAGAGAGTAGGGGGAGGAAGGAGGAGGCAAACAAGCATCTCCATTTAGGCACAGCTGTGGTTCAAAATATGTTTCTCCTTATAGAAACTCCCCTGAATTCAAAAACCTGAAAGAAAGCAACACTGGCTTTGGGGGATATTTACAACGAAAGGTTTCATCACGAAGTGTATTTTTGCACCCTTGTCTTCAGGGAAAGTAACCACAACCGCCGCTCTGGCCGAGCAGAAGTTGGACCACTGCCAGGATTTAATGTGACTCAGGGGTTGAGAGACGCCGCACATGTCTCGCTTTCTGTGCCACTAAATGCCTTTGACCATGCACGATCTTTCACGGCCACTGAATTGCTGCAAACTAAGCCACCCACATGCCCTGCCTGAAATTCAGGCCAGAAGGTCTAACTTAAGCAGACTGGAGGCCTCGGTTAGAAACTGAGAACTCAGAGCTGCCTCCCTGATGGTGCAGGACTGCTTCTCAGCTCACCTTTGGGACAATGCACATATGGGTAGTCCTTGACTTATGGCCACAACTGAGCCCAAAGTTTCCTGTTGCTAAGTGAGACAGTTGTTAATAGCAATAGCACTTAAGACTTATATACCGCTCCACAGTGATTTTTCAGCCCTCTCTAAGCAGTTTACAGAGTCAGCCTCTGGCCCCCAACAATCTGGGTCCTCGTTTTACCCACCTCGGAAGGATGGAAGGATGAGTCAACCTTGAGCCGGTCAGGATCGAACTCCTGGAAGTGGGCAGAGATAATCTGCGACACTGCATTGTAACAACTGTATTACTATGGCTGGCTGGCTGGCAGGCTGGCTTGCTTGCTTCCTTCCTTCCTTCCCAAGCTTTAGCAGACTTATATACCGCTTTACAGTGCTTTTACAGCCCTCTCTAAGCGGTTTACAGAGTTCCTCATTTAGGCTGAGTCAACCTTGAGCCTGGTGAGATTTGAACTGCCAAACTGCAGGCAGCTGGCAGGCAGCAGAAGTATCCTGCAGTACTTCACTCTAACCACTGCACCACCGCAGCTCTTAAGTGAATTTTGCCCCATTTTATGACCTTCCTTGCCCCAATGCTTAAGTGAATCCAGGGGTGAAATGTAAAATTTGTTACTACCGGTTCTGTGGGCGTGGCTTGGTGGGGGGGAGGGGTAATGTGACTGGGTGGGCATGGCCAACTTTTTTTTTTTTTTAACTTTTCAAAGAATTTTTTCTAATGCTTTGAAAAGCTTCTCTGACAATCTGGCAATTCAGCTGGGATCATCAGAGACTTTTCAAAGCATTTTTTTTACCACCTCTTTGGCCAAGAGGTTGCAGAAAAAAAATGCTTTGAAAAGCCTCTGACGATCCCAGCTGAGCCGCGTGATCATCAGAGGCTATTTTTTTTTTACTTTTAAAAGCATTTTTTCGTTGGAAGAGGTTGTAGAAAAAATGCTTTTAAAATTAAAAAAAAAAAAGCCTCTGATGATCGTGTGGCTCAGCTGGGCATGGGGGTGGGGGTTGCAGGGATTTTTGCTACCGGTTCTCCGAACCACCCGCCGCCATCGCTACTGGATCGGGTGATCCGGTCCGAACCGGGAGCATTTCACCCCTGGTCAAGGGACTGAATTTTTATCACAGGACCAGGGGGGATGCTGCAAGGATTGTGTGGGAAAAAAATGGCGATTAGTCACTTTTTTCAGTGCTGTTGTAACTTTGGTCACTAAATGAACTGTTGTAAGTCGAGGACCACCTGGACTCTTTATGGTTTGGGGTGGCCTGAGTTGGCGGTGACTCTGCAAAAAAAATAAAAATAAATTGTAGTCTGGTTGGTTGATTTTCTCCCATGCCAAGTAGAACCTCTTAGGAAAGAGCTGGCACAGTTGTCCAAGTTAGATCAAAATTAACCGGGGCAGAAATAATCATTCCAGAAATAACCTACCCTTCTCAGGATACATGAACCCAGCAGCTGCCGAAATATTCCTTTAAAGATTCGTTGGCAGGAAGTCTTAAGCATCAGGGATCTCCACTCTGCCTGGCCCGCTAATAGGGCCAAGAAAATGTCCAAACTTTTTCACCGGTCTCCGTTGCAATTTTCTCATGCGCGAGATAGGAAAATCCCTAATGATGCTTTCCTTCGGCTTGTTAATGTGAGTAGGAAATGATGCCCCGAAGGAATTCAGTCCATGTATATTTTGTTGCCCTTAAAATCCATCACTCTGAAAGGGCTGCATGAGAAGAATTGAGCCCAGATGAAATCACATTCAGGGTTATCACTGAATTCCCCCCCCAAAAAATTCAAAACCTTCGGTAGATTAGATGGCCTTTCAAACGATGAGAGAATTTACTGAAGGAAAGTCTATTAACATTCATCTAGACCAGGGGTCTGCAACCTTAAACACTCAAAAAGCCATTCGGACCTGTTTCCCACAGAAAATAAAACACCGGGAGCCACAAAACCCTTTCCCATGCCTGAGTATTTCCTGAGCGCCCACAAAACTAGCATAGTTGAATAAAAGGTTCTGTTTTCTTCTGAAACTTTTCTTTTCTTGGATTTATCCATGGTTGGCCTATCAGGGGTTGAAAAGCTCAATAAATCACGTGCTGGCAGGTGTCACACATTGGCAGTTATGATGCATATTTTGAGTGACAGGGAGCTGCAGCAGAGGGGTGAAAGAGCCACATGCGGCTCCAGAGCCGCAGGTTGCTGACCCCTGATCTAGACAGCCACAGAAAATGGCTTGGGTATCTCTGAAGGATCAATAAGAGGGAAATGTTAGCTTAGTTTTATATTGAAGCTTTCATGCAGTATTTGAGATGCCATTTTTAAAAAATAGGACTCTTGGATTATCTAAACTAAACCTTGGTTACGTTTTATTTTTTTTTTACGCTATCTGTACAATTTTTCAAAATCCCCAAATGTAAAGGAACCGAGAGCTTTCCTCCCCCTCTCCATCTCTCTCATCCTAGTTTGTCTAACAAAACCTTTGCTGCCAATGTCGCATGACAGTCCGTTCTTGATCCCTTTAATGCAGTGGTGAAATGTAAAATTTGTTACTACCGGTTCTGTGGGCGTGGCTTGGTGGGGAGGGTAATGTGACTGGGTGGGCGTGGCCAACTTTTTTTTTATATATATATATATACTTTTATATATATATATATATACTTTTAAAAGCATTTTTTCTACCACCTCTTCGGCCGAAGAGGTGGTAGAAAAAAGGCTTTTAAAAGGCTCTGAGGATCCCAGCTAAGCTGCGCGATCAACAGAGGCTTTTTTTTCTTTTTTCTTTTAAAAGCATTTTTTTTGGCTGAAGAGGTTGTAGAAAGATAGGGTTGCCAGGTGTCCACTATTTGAGCGGACAGTCCGCTTTTTTCACATTATGTTCACTATTTTTTTTCACAAAATAATGGACATTTTTTTTTATTCAAAAGCTTTATGATGAAATGGTACGTAATCTAAAGCTGTACAGTCTAAGAGAATAAGGATAGGAGAATCGGGTTTTTTTGTTTTTTTTCATAAGTTAGAATGAGACAAAGATCGAATATCCATTGAACTCGATTCCCCGAAAAAATTAATGATGAGATAAAAATAAAAATATATTATAAAATTATGTACAGTTCACATTTTTAAAATGTATTGTAGCTTGTGTCGACTGACCTAAAATGGCATGTTAAAATGTTTGTAAGTAAATATATAATTTAATTGTAAATTTTTTTAAAATTTTTTTTACTACTTAACACACACACACACACCGCTTATCCGCTATTTTTTGGAAGCAGACCTGGCAACCCTATGAAAGAATGCTTTTAAAAGTAAAAAAAAACCCTCTGATGATCGCATGGCTCAGCTGGGTATGGGGGGGGGGCAGGGATTTTTGCTACCGGTTCTCCGAACCACCCGCCGCCATCGCTACCGGATTGGGCGATCCGATCCGAACCGGGAGCATTTCACCCTGGATTGATGTTCTTCTAAGTGTTTTCTTTTCAAGAAAAGAACCCGATTTCTATGTTGGTAAAGATAAATTTTAACACGAAAGAAACTAAGGTTTCTAATAAGCTCTCTTTAAGAAATGTTTGGGTTAACTTCTTTCCGTTCCCTAGTTTTGCATCCAAAGATCTTACTTGTTACTTTGCTTGTTTCAGCTTTTAGCCAAATCCAGGGGCCTAGACTGGAGAGCGGTGGCAAAGCTCCAAGACGTGCAAACCAAGCTGAAGCTAAGCTTGGAGGAAATGCTGGCTGTGGTCGAAGAGGCGTTTCACCCTGAGCCTTACAGCCTAGAGGAAATTGGGGGAAACCTGGGAATTAACCCCACAGAGCTACGTGCTCAGATCCTGAGCCAGAACACACAGGATGGTAAGTAGCATGCCAGTTTGGTGATGCCAGAAGCAATTTAGCATTTCTGTCTGTGCCGGGGACTTTAAATCATCAACGTTGAAAAGGGCCTGGGGGGAAAAAAATGTTACGGGCATTGCAATCAACTGTGATTTGACTCCAAGGGAACCAGATTAAGTGGACCTAGAGATGACATTATTATTATTTTTATTTTGTAACTAGGACAGCTGTCAGTTACACATGGGTTTCTGGCTTTCAGATGAAGTGAGTTGTGGATGTGCTTGTTGTAAAGTATGCCGTACAACCATGCTTTAGAAGGACACCCCCCCCCCCCAAATGATTAGTGCGACACTCTGACATCCTGAAAGAAAGTGAATTGAGTTTTGGTGTTCTGATCTAGGCTTCCCAAGAGCACGAAGCAGACTCCTTGTCCCGACAAAAAAACCCTTTTTATTAAGTTACTGTGAATTCCTCTCATTCACATCCAGCAAAGTCTTTCAAGGGAGAAAGACCTTATCTAGCTTATCACAGACCTTATCTGGCTTGGAGAGCTGCCAGGCCGATATCTTCAAAACTTGGCAAGGAGTCTCTGAGAGTCACAAACCAATTAGGCGAACTAATTGTCTCCTGCAAACTCCACTCTCCTTTCGCTCCTCTATTCCCTAGGGAAGAGGCCATTCACCGTCTACCTGTAGCTTTACTCCTGAGTCGACCCTTGTTCCTTAGCTGTTCCCTTCTCCTGGCAGCTCTGCTCATGCGCACACTGGGAACAGGCTCCAGCTGTTCATCTGCCCCACTGATGTCCGACTCTGAAGGCAGCTGACGACTGTCAGATGGCCCTGGCCCCCATTCTGCCTCCGACGCGGAGCCCTCATCAGAGTCTTCCCCAGACTCCAGGACTGGCCCATGTTCCTCCCCAATCTCCTCACTGTCTGAGTCTGCCACCAGTTCCGCTGGCGGGCCACAACATTTGGGTTCAGAGATCTGATTCAGATGGCTACCCAGCCATGCCAAGGGGAAGGTGTAAAAGATGTTCTTTTATGCAACCTGTAGCAATTCTTACCTGTAAGATTTTACCATGTAGAGATTCATCAGCTAGTCTGCAGCCTGGTGTTTTTCTACTTCTTGTACGCATCACTAGGAAGCCATTGGTGGATGCAGCTCCCCAGCCTGTGAGAAACCCAGACAGAAAGAGAGAGAGCAGCCAACTTCCATTACAGTCTAAGCCAGAGGTCTCCAACCTTGACAACTTTAAGACTTGTGGACTTCAACTCCCAAGCTTTGCTGGCTGAGGAATTCTGGGAGTTGAAGTCCACAAGTCTTAAAGTTGCCAAGGTTGGAGACCTCTGGTCTAAGCAACCTGAATGGTGGTTCATTTTACGTCCATGAAAATCACCCAACATAAAACTAGATTTCAATATATCCTACTATCTAATGGTTCTGATGCAACAAGAACGGAAGAATCATTACATCAAGCCCCCTCTCCCCCCCCAATTCCTCAACTTGCATTACACAATCGTTCTAATAGGGCAGAAAGTTTGGTCCTGGCATTTGAACAGAGCAATTCAAACCCAGCATGTTCGTTGGGTGAAGTTATCTGAATTCTCTTCTTTGAAAATCACATCGACGCCCTTTTGATCTTGATAGTTTTTTCTTTAGGATCATTTCTGATTTGGGAAAGGAACTCAATTCTCTTGTAATAGCTTGCCTGCCAACCCTAACTGTTGCTGCCCATGATTATAATCAGCCAGCAACATAGACATCACAGCTCAGATTATATCTTCCTTTTCCACTTCAGTGCAAAAAGAAAAGAAAACAAAGTTGTTATTTTTGAGAAGGATCCAGTTTTTGAATGGCGAGATACCATTTTCTTACAATACAGCAGAGGTGGGTTTCAGCAGGTTCTGACCAGTTCTGGAGAACTGGTAGCGGAAATTTTGAGTAGTTCGGAGAACCGGTAGTAAAAATTCTGACTGGTCCCACCCCCATCTATTCTCTGATCAGGAGGAAAGGGGGATTTTGAAGTAACCTTCCCCTGGAGTGGGGTGGGAATGGAGATTTTACAGTATCTTTCCCCTGCCACGCCCACCAAGCCATGCCACGCCTACCAAGCCACACCCACAGAAACCGGTAGTAAAAAAATTTGAAACCCACCACTGTAATACAGCTGTATTGAGCCTTGACTCATGATTACAAGTCACAGGTATTCACAGAAATAGTACCAGCCTCCTCTACACTTGAGGGGCCGAAAGGTTGGGGACCCCTGCCATAGAAGAACGTTCAGACCTCGTGTCATCCTAGGATTCAGGATGTAGACATCAATGTCTCCTGACGGTAAGAATAGCTCAGTGCCATTACAAAAGGAATGATGGTTTCTCCTTTACTGGATGGAGTCAAGCACCGTCTGGGAAGCTATCTTGGGAGATGTTTTATTTAAACATTCCTGCACTGACCACAGGAATGTACTCGGCGACCTCAGTAGCCTTCTCCCAACCTATGATTGTGTGGTCATTGGCTTTTGTTATTTTTCTACTTGTAAAAGACACCAGATGGATGGTGGGCACCAGCATTTGCCGTCTCTTGGCAATAGAGCGTTGTTGAAGCCACAGGGAGCGAAGCCAACGGAGACAAAAGGGAAGAGCTGTTTAAGGACATTTGGTGGGCTGATTCTCATTAATTGAAGGAAGTGATACGTTAGTGACATGTTGACTATCCTTTTTCCAGATTTGTTCCAGAAGAGTAGAGAGCTGTAGACTCCCAATTATTTTGTCTCTGCTTTTTCTCCCCACCCCTCCTTTTCTCTTACACACCAAGACTCGATGAAATATTTTCCCAAAGCCCATGGGAAAAGTTATTCCATCTAGCGTTTGCAGATGTTAAGTCAAGTAGAATCTCTCTTAACATATGGTGTGACTGCGATTTTGTTTGATAAGACCGGGGGGGGGAGAGAAAGGGGGGTCCCGGAGCAATCATGTTGTTTTCTTTGGCACGAGAGAAATCTTGGTTAGTTGCAAAGAAGAAAAATAAGAAAATGAATATATCTCTATATAAGAGCCTAATGTTTGCATAACCCCTAGGCTTGGGTTTACAATTCTCAAATACTATGAATGTGCACTTCTGCCTCTCTTCTTTGCTATTTTTTTTTCCCCTCAGTGTATTTATATATAGTTGCAGAACGTCTTCAAAACGTCCAACGTGACCTTTGTAGGGCTCTTCTAAAATATTCCAGTGTTTTAGTTTTTGGCAGTTGTGCCTCGTACTTAAAACACTCTGGATCAAAAGATGGCTCGCTGTTTGACCATTGAGTTCGCTGATTTACGACCACTTTTGTGCCAACATTTCCAAAACTGTTTATATTTCAAAATTTCTAACACAAATAATTATTACAAAAAGAAAAAAAGAAAAAAGCAACACGATCATCTCAAGCCCATTAAACAGTCCACGTAGGACCGATCGGCATAAATTCTGTGAAAAGGATTTTATAAGACCGACGGTCTTAAGCACTCCCGAGACTGGTGACTGATATAGGATTTCTGAAGACAAATTATATCTGATGTATTTATATTTAAGAGTTGTATATCAAGAGAGAGATAACTCTCAGGATATATCTGGTAGGTTAGAAGGTTGTCGCTTGAGTATGGCATGAGTCTGTTCCATTAGGTGTAAACAAATAAAGGATTGAGCTCAACAAAGTTTTGCTGTGTCATCATGGACATTTTGGCCTGACAGGAATATCTTTTATATATTTCTTTTCATTTTCTGTAGTCTTATTTTTTTTCCCCATTTCTATTTCTTTTCTGCTCTATTTTTTCTATTATTTTTTTAAGTGTGTACTTTTTCATCTTTTATTTGTAATTTTTCATAAAAATACTATTAAAAAAAGAAGAAGAAGAAAGCTGAGAGTGGAATTATTCTCATAATTTTCTGAAATTCAGAGTCAGGAGCAACTTCTGGATGGAGGGAAAAAGAAATGGAATTCCTCCACTACAAGCTGCACTTGAATTTGCTTTCTTCAAGCAAAATTCTTGAAACTTTATAAAATCGTTCTATTTAGCGAAACGCCCCCTAATTTTGAAAGGAGGTAAAGGGGGTGGAAGGAGGGGGAAAGCATTTCATCGTTTCAGAGAAGCCTCCCATTTCAGAGGGGAAAATGTTTTTAAAAGGAACGGAAGTATTCAGGTCTTTAAAACTTACCGTATTTTTTGGACTATACAATGTACCGGACTATAAGATGCACCTATCTTTTTTGGTGAGGAAAACAAGAAAAAGAAATAAGCCTCACCTCTGCCTCCCAGCAATTTTGCCACATGACAGCAAACAGTCTGCTTTACTTTCAGTTTCGTTTTCAGCGTCGCTTGATTAGCACAAGGAAAAAAAAATCTGCTCTAGCAATTTACCTCCTTGCAGCAAGCAGCAGAGGCCCATGCAAAACAGCTGAGAGCAAAACAGCTGAGAGTCGGGAGGGAGATCCAATCAACTTGTGCTAATTAGGCTGTGCTGAAGCTGAAATAAGCTGTTTCTTCTTGCTGCTTGCTGCAAAGAGGTAAATTGCTGGGAGGCAGAGGCCAAAGGGTGAGAGCCAGTGGGTGGGCAGGGCTACATTCGGTGTATAAGACGCACCTAAATATTCACCCCCTTTTAGGGGGGGGCAAAGGTGCGTCTTATTACAGTAAATGGAAGGCAAAAAGATGACTATGTATTTACTCATTGCATAAACAGCTTCAGTTGCCAAAGAGAATTTAGACAATATATAGTACATCAAAATATAAAAACAAGGTAAAAGAAGCAACAACCCCCCTCCAACCAGCCTCTGTTTTTAACGTGCCCCATACTGGGTAAGGAAAATCCCATAAATGCATAGGGATCCATATCACAATTATCCAGATAGAACCACAAAGCCCATGGGTTCTGTTTCTCTAGTATGGCAAGAGCCAGTTTGGTGTGGGGGTGAAGGCACCAGGCTAGAAACAGGGAGATTGTGAGTTCATCCCTTCTTAGGGACAAAGGCAGCTGGCTGACCCTGGACCTGATCTCTTCTCTGAGCCCCAGGAAGGAGGCAATGGCAAACCACTTCTGGAAGGTTTTACTTTACAGATTAACCGAGTTGGAAGGGACCTTGAAGGTCATCCAGTCCAACCCCCCACTCAAGCAGGAGACCCTACACCATTTCTGACAAATGGCAGTCCAATCTTTTCTTGAAAGTCTCAAGTGATGAAGCTCCCACAACTTCCAAAGGCAACTTTTGTTCCATGGGTTGATTGCTCTCACTGTCAGAAAATTCCTCCTTATTTCTAGGTTGAATCTCTCCTTGATCAGTTTCCATCCATTGTTCCTTGTCTGGCCTTCAGGTGCTTTGGAAGGTCTATGGAGATTCTTAATCATTCAGGTCGTGGTTGCCCTAAAGATGCTTTTCCAAAAGGCAATGGGACTTTCTTAGTTTTTTTTTTTCCCTTGAAAAACATGTCGCTTCTCATCCAAGAAATGTCCTCAAGACCCAAGAAAATCCAAAAAGAAAGTTCAAAACCCGAGAGAGTCTAGTTGCCCTTTGGAAAAGCCCATTTGGGACACTCCTCAAAGGCCTTCTCATAAATAAAGGGAACGCAGGAAAGATCTGCTTGCAACCTTGGTGCTTCAAGCGATCCACCTTTTTAAGAAAAGCAGGCAAACACCTTTATTTTGTTACGAGCGGTGAGGATTTCAGTGGCTGTTCCACTCCCCGAATCCATCATCTGTCGACGCTTTGGGTTTTCTCCAGCAAGCGGTCCAGCAGAAGAAACAGATCTCTTGAATACCGTGATTTCATTCCTGACTTGCTTTAGTTGGCCAGCAGTGGCTTCCAAGGAAGAGAGTCTAAGCAAACAACAATCCAACCCTGGTTTCTTTCACTGGAGATGTAATCACTGAAAAGATTACACTAGATTATAGTTGTTTGCATTAGAAGTTTTTTTTTTTAAATTCTTCCTTTTAAAAAAATCTTTCCTAAGAAAAAGGGAAAAAGCCATGCTGGATTAGAGTTAGAGCAGGGATGTTAAACTCAGGGCCCGGGGGCTGTATCCGGCCTGTGTGGTACTTAGATCTGGCCCACAGGACCACCCTGGAAATAGCCAAGGATCGGCCAGTGGTGCTTCTGCCAGCAAAAACACCTCCTGACCTCCGTTTTCAGCTGCCGCGGCCTCCTGCAACCCTCTGCCAATGAAAACGGAGCTTGGGGGGGCGGCCCTCCCGAGCTCCATTTTCACTGGCAGAGGGTTGCAAGAGGCCGTGGCAGCCGAAAACGGAGCTTGGAAGTAGCGGTGGGATTCACTTACCTTCCCTACTGGTTCGCGAATGTGAGCGCACATGCCTCATCTGTGCATGTACACAGCCTTCTGTGCATGCACAGTGCTTGTGCATTACGTCTGGGCGAATGGGTGAAACCTCCCACAGTCGCCGCTATAGATTCGCTCGAACTGGAGAGAACTGGCTGAATCCCACCACTGCTTGGGAGCCTGTTTTCACTGGCAGAGCGCTCGGGCCACCACAGGCACGCCCGACAGGAGTGACGTCGAGTTGGCCACGCCAACCCCGGCCCACCAAGGTCAAACACAACCCTGATGCGGCCCTCAATGAAACCGAGTTTGACACCCCTGAGTTAAAGCAATCACACAGGCAGGGCGTAGTAGTAGTTGCCTTCTGCAGCCTGACCCAATGTTATGGAGGGCTTGCCTTGCCTTCTCAGGCTCTGGCTGGCAAGCAGGAACGAAGAGAGGATTCCAGCTGCCAACGCATAACGTGATGAGCCTGCGAGAACCCACAAAGTGCCCTAAGGTAATCTGGCCAGCGGAGCTTTGCTTTACCGAAGGGTGGTCTTTGAATCAATCACAGCCTTTGGCAAAGCCTTTGCCTCCAAATCGAAACCAGACGTCTTTTTTTGAGTTTTTGATTTTTGATTTTTTTTTCTACTTTTGGGTTACTACTGTTCAAGGGTGATTTACAAGAGAGCGTGAGCGATGGCAAACTCTCACGCAACTTCGGATACGTCCAAAAACAAAAGGTGTTATTTCAAAAGGCCCTCAGGTGGTATTTCTGAAACAAAAAGAAAAAGGGGGGGAGGGGAGAGGGCCCATCCTGAAGATAGAAGTTGCCCGGGGAGCCTTGTGTTTTCTCGGCTCTCCTCTAGGAAGGCTTCAGCCGTAACCCACGCCGTGCAAAAAAAGAGCAGAATTCATCAGCTGGAGGACAAAATGTACTCGATGAGTTTGGTAGGCTGGGAATTGGGCAAGTTCTATCCATTGTTCAGTGGTCCCTCCCCAGAGAGCAATTTTGATCAGCATTTTTTATTTTGGTAGGGAAAACAAAACAAAACACAATATTTGTGTGAGGTTTAATCGTATTCCAGAAGCATGATGCCTTCAGGCATTTGTCTTAAGGGGGTCCATTGTTAGGAAGCAGAGCTGCGTTTCATAGCAAGCCAAGTAACATTGGCACCTTGGAGAAGTTGCTGGGCTCCTCCTGAGTGCTGTTGCTTCCTCCTCTTCTTCCCACAGCCCCATCTTGCTGGGCAGGGGGAGGGGAGCCTGAGTGGCGTAGGGAGCTAATGCCTCCTACTAAGGCAGCATTTAACATCCAGCTGCCTGCAATTACTGCGAGTTCAATTCTCACCAGGCTCAAGGTCGACTCAGCCTTCCATCCTTTCTAAGGTGGGTAAAATGAGGACCCGGTTTGTGGGGGCAATAAGCTGACTTTGTATAAAATATACAAAAGGATGAAGGTTATTGCTTAACGCATTGTAAGCCGCCCTGAGTCTCCGGAGAAGGGCGGAATATTAAAAAAAATAAAAAAAAAATTCTGCACCCTATACCAATAATGCTCCACTTTTAACCAGCTTTTTTATTTTCTGCAGTGACTACCTTCAAATTATACCAACGTGCTAAGCATGTGTATGCGGAAGCTGCCAGAGTTTTGGAATTCAAGAAAATCTGCGCGGAAGCACCTGACGATGCGATCTCATTGCTGGGAGATTTAATGAATCAGAGCCATGCCAGTTGCAGAGACTTGTACGAATGCAGCTGCCCTGAACTAAATCAGCTGGTGGAGATCTGTCTGTAAGTTTGCACCGCCGTGGAAAGTAAATGTTATTTGGGTTGGATTGCAGAGAAAACACGACAGCGTTACGCCGTTGTTTAACTAAATTAAAACATTTAAAAAGAGGGTATGTGTGGAAATGAAAAGAATGTATTGGTGTCTATTATCTGATGCGCCAAGAAAGCATTCGTTTGATCAGGTCAATTCAAACAGATGCTTTCGGCATCGTAAGTTCCAAGCGGTGGGGCTGGGTGCACCCTTATCAGGTCCCACAAAATGGTCAGAATTAAATCATTAGGAATAGTTTGTTCATTCGTCATCTCATTTTGAAGGGAACAAGTTTCCTTTCCCTCTCACTTGCTACCTGATCCAGATGATGCTGGGAAATTCTGCACGCCAAGATTGGCTTCTGTCAGTAAGGCTCTGATCCTCAGGCAAAGAAAAGCCTTTTTCAGAGGCGCTGGAAATGGATTTTCTGAGATCTATTTGAAGATGTTAAGGACTGAATCTGTGACTTTCCTTGTAGGATACATACTGAGCTATGTTTTTTTTTCCTAAGAACTGCCTATACATTTATTGCATTTGATGTCCCAACTAGATTCTTTTATTTTTATGTATATGAAGAGCTGTGGTGGTGCAGTGGTTAGAATGCAGTGTTGCAGGCTAATTCTGCCCACTGCCAGGAGTTTGAACTTGACCAGCTCAAGGTTGACTCAGCTTCCCATCCTTCTAAGGTTGGAAAAATGAGGACCCAAATTGTTGGGGGCAATATGTTGATTCTGTAAATGACTTAGAAGAGCTGTCAAGCACCCTGAAGTTATATAGAACACACTCATCTCTCTCTCTCTGTGTCTATCTGTCTATATAACTCTATCTAAGTCTCTCTCTATATGTGTATGTGTGTATACATATATAGTTTTGTTTTCTGAGGTTTTCACAGGTGTTTGTATGTAGGTCTTTGGTTATTCGGGTTTTCTCCCGTATAAAATTGGAAGTGTCTTGGCGACGTTTTGACAAAGTCTAATTCGTCATCTTCAGGCTGGTATTTTCGGCTTCGTGCTTCTAGGAGCAATGTTTGAAAACCCGAATAACTAAAGACCTACATATATAGTTTTATACACACACACATATATACGTATACACCCATATGTATACTTACATATGTGTGTATATACACACACACAGATATACACATATGCATATATATACACACACACATACATGCATGCATGCAAGATGTAATCCCATTCACTTTCATGACTCGTCCAAAGAATAAATCCCTTAATCTTTCAATATCTTTTTCAAAAGGTTTTTACACAGCATTTGTACAATCCATTACCAACTCCCAGGAATAGTGAGTAGGGTTTTCTGTGCAGCGTTTCCCACAATGCAAAGAGAAAGAAAGAAAGAAAGAGAGGAAGAAACCTGGCGAGTAGTTTCCATTCGTAACGAAAACACCACAGACCCAACAGCATCTGCAGACCGGCTGATTCCAACAGCAAAAGCCTCCTAATGTTTCCTGTTTTGCTGCATTTAAGCCAGTTGATAACAACTGTTTGAGCTAATATAGGTTGACTCAGGCCCTCTCCAAAGAATCTAAATGATTTCAGCATGGTTGCAGAGCGGAGCTGTCATGCCGTAAATGCTTGGCAGGAAACGCCGGTGGTTTGGTGAGCTAAGTAGCTAAGTGACGGTTATTACCTCTTTTTAGGAGGTGTTGTAAAAGTCTGAGGCCCTCGGATGTTCCAAGCTCGAAGTGCTGGCATAGCTGGTGGGGGAAATCATTACTTCAGCATCTCCACGATGGAGCATCGCGGAGCTTCAAGCTCTCCCGTTTCAGACCATGTATGGGCTCGAAGCAAGTCGCCAAGCAGTTCTTATGACATGGCACCCAGGGAATATAGGTTTTGCCCCAGCAATTCCAATTAAACAGTACAAGAAAAACGATAGCTTAGGCATTCAAGCCACAGATGAATGTGTTTGCAGAGCCATTGTGGTACAAACGCTGGAGCAACATGAGAAAGACTTAACCTTGGGCCATTATAGTACGCTGTACTCTCTGGTGGATTGGTTGACTGGTGGAATGTTTTGGCAAGTGAGTTCATACAGTCAATTTAAATGGAAACCTTTTGTTAAGAAATAAAATCCACATGCTTTAGGGTTCTTGAGCCAAATGATCGCAAAATTGTAGATGACCAGACTGAGCCTGAGGGAGAGGTCAAACATGTCATCAGTCTTGAATCCCTTCATGCCCACAAGAGATTTAAGTCCAGCCCATCTTGAATCCCGTTAACTCTTATCTACCACCAGTTTTCTCTGATCCTTAAAATAGTTCTGATTCTTGTAGAGAGCTTTAGCATACAATAAAACTACCATATTTTTCGGAGTATAAAACGCACCTACCTTTTTTGGGGAGGAAAACAAGAAAAAAAAATCTGCCTCTGTCTCCCAGCAATTTGCCTCCTTGCAGCAAACAGCCCGTTTCAATTTCAGCTTCATCCCAGCCTGATTAGCATAAACAGCTGGTTGTCAGTTGGATTGGCCGCCCGAAGATCAGCTGTTTCAGGCTGCAGGGATTGTCATAGCCTATTGCTGCCTCCGTGTGCCCTATTTTCGTGGAACGGCAGTGGGCGGGGCTACATTCAGTGTATAAGACACACCCAAATTTTCACCCTCTTTTATGGGGGAGAAAGTGCGTCTTATAGTCCGAAAAATACGGTATATTCAATTGACCCCTGATTTCCTGTGCTTGAAAAATGTGTCTGTAAGCTGTATAGTCACCTTCAGCAAGATGAGAGGCATACTAGATAGATAGATAGATAGATAGATAGATAGATAGATAGATAGATAGATAGGGAGGGAGGGAGGGAGGCAGGCAGGCAGGCAGGCAGGCAGGCAGGCAGGCAGCAGGCAGGCAGGCACAGAGTTTGCTATGGTGAACAATATCATTGCTTATTGCAGTGGGCTCAAGGCACAGAGGGGCTGTTATTTTTAGGAAACTCTTTTTTCACAGGTGCTTTCACTGGGTAGCCCAAGTCTCTAGAGAGAACTACAAGAGTTTTGAAAATAACAATTGCAAGTTACCTGCCTTTTTTCTTCTGTCTTGCCCAATATCTAAAGAGCTTCTGTGGAGATCAAAGGCATCTGGCCAAGAGCTGGAATTGTTACAGGAGCATTGCAGGAAAGCTAAGGTTTTCCCTCAGGCTTCACTTTTTGTTCGAATCTCTCTTCCTAGCTTCTCCCCTTTTGTGGGCTTGCCCCCAAAATCCCCAGGGAAGAGGGAAGGCGTTTTGGTTTTCCCATCTCAAGATGATCCGCTGATTCCCTTCTAGGCTTTTGAGATACAGGAGCCTCCCAGTTGGTTTGGCTGGCAATTCCTGTTTTCTCCGGAAACCATTCCATACAGGAAGGGCCCCACGTGGGTCCTTTGTGGAGGGGAAATTCTGAAGGGATTTGCAACTTTTAGGTTAGCTCCAAGATTTAAAATAAATAAATAAAAATGAAGCAATACAGCAACTAAGTGAAATACCGAGATGAAAATATGGAGTTAAAGGTTTCATTCGAAGAAGAGTGATTTCAGTTTTGGCCTTTGTAAGGGAAAACCATGACAGACAAAAGTCAACATATGCCTAAAATGCCTCAGATTCTTCTGAGCTTCCCAATGAAACCTGGCTGAGGAGATTTATGACAGGAACTACACTGCATCCAACCGACTGCTTGTTCTTCATTTTATTCTGAACTTACACAGGGGTTCGGGAGAACCTCTAGCTAAGATTCTGTGCAGTTCGGAGAACCCCCAAATTCCACTCCTGGCTGGCCCCTCCCACCCCACCTTGCCCCTCCCAGGAGTCCCCTCGCAGCTCGTTTTAGATGCAGGTAAGTGCAGGCACGCGCGGAGGCTCGGGGAGGGTGAAAAACTGGCCTACCGGAAGTTCGGGAAGGCTAGAAATGGGCCCGTTTCTGTCCTCCAGAGGGCCTCCGGAGCCAGGGGAGGCTGTTTTCACCTCCGGAGCCCGGGGAGGGCAACCCCCCACGGCCTTGGTGCAGGAGGCCAACTAGGTCATGCCCACCATGGTCATGCCCACCCAGCAACCAGGCAGAGAACCCCTTGCTAAAATTTTTGAAGCCCACCCCTGCTTCAGGGCATAGGTAAAATGTTATCCTACTATTTGGTTTTGTATTCGCTAGTCTTAGAGGCTTAGTGATATTATATAGACATCAAGACTGGCAGACACAGATGACCTTAAACTATGAAGTTCATAGTAAATCCGTAGTTCAGATTAGATTACACCAGGCAGTTTAACGTGTCAGCTGTTTGCAACCTTCCAGCCACCTGACTTTTAGCTGCCTATTGTGGTTGTCTTGTTTCCTTTTGAAAACTAGAAGGAATCTAACCCGCTTCTGCCCAGCATTTGCCAGTAGGCTCCCTGCATGCACAACACGTTCTCCCTTGATTTATGGCTTTAAAAATCTGCTTTATTTATTTATTTATTTATTTATTTATTTATGTTCTTCTAGGCAGTTTGGAGCAGTTGGCTCACGCCTGACTGGGGCAGGATGGGGTGGCTGCACTGTGTCAATGGTTCCTGTGGACAAAATGGAAAGATTCCTAGCAAATGTGAAGGAGGCTTATTACAGAAATGATGGCCAAAGGTTAGCCCTGGAAGAAAACAACCTCTTTGCTACCAATCCTGGCGGAGGAGCTATAATTGTCCTTGAAGCCTGAAGGACGCCTCATTTTGTATGCCACAGTAAACAATTCATTTTGCTGTTTTTTATTACATTATAACGGACAATAGCAATAGCTATTATTAAGATGGGTTTCCAAACTCCCCCCCCCTCTCAAAAGCGCTATTAATCTTTCTAATGTATTTTTTTTTCCTTTCTTAAAATATGCTTCCAACATAATCATCCAAAATTATGATTTCTGTCTGGACTTTACAATATAAAACACGATTTGCCAGAATATATTGGTTAAAATTATTGAAATGAACCAGATTGGAATTAAAGGGGGTGGGTGGGGGTGGAGAAAAGAAGCCCAATGACTCTCTCTCGTTCTTTATTGATTCGAAAGTCAGAAGCCTAAACTTCATACCAAAAGTTGAGTACGCTTAATTTTGGCGGAAGAAAAAAAAAGTCCCATCAACATTCACAGCACGTATCTTGATGTCAGGCATCTTTGGCTCCTGATTCTGATGAACAAGACCCATGATGGTGTATCTTGGCATTTGCCTATTCAAAAGAAACACCAGGAATGATATTTGGGTGGGATTTTGCGTGTTGTGATGCTGTAACCCCTTCCCTTCTCCCCTCCCCCACCACCATTCCCCTGAGTCATACAAAGATAATTAGGGGCCTGGAAATTTAAACATACAAAGAATGGTTGCAGGAATTAGATATGTCTAGTTCAGGGTCTGCAACCTTAAACACTCAAAGAGCCATCTGGACCCGTTTCCCACAGAAAAGAAAACACTGGGAGACACAAAACCTGAGTGGGCGTGGCCAACTCAACGTCACTCACTTCCATCAGTCACATGAATCTCCCCTAGCCACGCCTACCCAGCAGGTTATTAGGGCAGAGAACCAGTTGTTAAAAAACACTGGGAACCACAAAACCCTTTTGACATCTCTCCCTTCCTCCCTCCCTCCCCCCTCTCTCCCTCACTCTCCCCCTCCCCCTCTGTCTCTCTCTCCCATCTCTCTTTATTTGCCCCGGCTGCTTCTCCATCCCCCGCCATTGCCCTTACCTTCTCAGGCCAGGTGAGGAGTGACTGAGAGGGGAGGACGAGGGGGACAGCCAGTGGTGGGATCACCTGACAGGGAGCCACAGCAGAGGGCCCAAAGAGATGCATGCGGCTCCAGAGCCGCAGGTTGCTGACACCCGGTTTGGTTTAATGAAAAGAAGGACTAGGGGATGCCATGATAGCAATGTTCCAATATTTTGAGAGGCTACCAACAAAGAAGGAGTGTGTTTGTCAGTCTATTCTCCCAAATACCTGAAGGTAGAACAAGAAGCAATGAATGGAAACTAATCAAGGAGAGGACCAACCTAGACATAAGGAGAAATTTCCTGACAGTGAAATGTCTTTGCCTTCAGAAGTTGTGAATGCTCCATCACTGGAGGTTTTTTAAGAAGGGACTGTAGACAGCCATTGGTCTGAAATGGTATAGAATCTCCTGCTTAAGTAAGGGGTTGGACTAGAAGACCTCCAAGCTCCCTCCCAACTTCTTTATTCTATTATTCAGAAGTTGCAGGGAAACTTCAACACAATGGAACGCACCCAACATTCTAACTCAGTGCCCAGGGTCCCATCTCCAGATGTTAGTTTTTATTTAAAGGGAGAATAAAATCCAGCTAGATCCTGGAGTGAGAAGAAGCAGCAAGATGTTTCTGTCACATCTAACCTCAAAATTTTCTGGGGAGTGGGATGAGGAAGAGGAAGGTTTTCCTCCAGAAACAACCCTGCAGATGTAGTTTGGGACGAACAGGTTTTGAACCCAAGGAAGAAGCTATTTTCCACCATGCTTAATCTCCTTCAGTTCTACTACAACCATATGTCAAATAGTGCTGTATCCTTCATAAGCAAATCAAGATTTTTGAGAGGCCCTCAGTGGGTTTTACTTTTTACAAGATAAACAGAGACTTCTGTTCAACTTCATTCCGTGATCTGTTATTGAATAAGGACCCAAACCTACTTCAACATACAATTAACATTATACAAAGCTACATGGGTTTATTTTTGCCAATTAAAAGGAATAAAAACTATGTATGCACTCCAGCGCATTCTCCATTTCGTAAGTAGGCGGCAATGTGTATTTAACCACAGAAGATAGTGACATAAAAACTGAATTACCATTCGGAGGAGAAACTCTTCGATTTTTACCCTTTTTTCAGTAGGTTTCGTGGTGATGTCTTCTAGCATCCTAGGCAAAAAAATACAGAGCACAGCAAGTTACAAGAAACTCCCTCCCTTTTTTTGTTTACTCCTGCCCCTGTGCAGCTTCTACCACATTTGTCCCAATGTGGACAAGTCAAAGTGACATTTCATTAAATTTCTAGCCGGCTGGGCGAAGTGTTGCAAACCCATAGCCTTTTCACCACGTTCACTGTGTCCCAGATACATGCCTGTCTTCATACGCAGGATTTCTTTGAAGGCTTAATATCAAATAAAAGCAGTCTCTCGCTCATAAACAATGTTTAATGTGGGGATAAAAATAAAATGGATTCACCATCATCCGAAGTAAAGCATCCAGTTAGGATCATATCCATTTTTTTTTAAAAAAACTACATTTTTGAAAAAGGAATGAGTGAAAGCAGTGTTGTTCTCAACTCTCTTAGCAATTTTAAGATGTCTGAACTTGAACAGCTAACATTCTGGGAGTTGAATTTCACACTTCTTAACATCGGTGAGGTCTAGAACCACTGGCTTAGAGAAGTCGGTACACGAAGATTTGCACCAGTGATGGGTTTCAATTTTTTTTATTACTGGTTCTTTAGGTGTGTCATGGCTTGGTGGGCGTGGCAGGGGAAGGATACTATAAAATCTCCATTCCCTCCCCACTCCAGGGGAAGGTTACTGCAAAATCTCCATTTCCTCCAGATCAGCTGGGACTCGGGAGGCAGAGAATACATAGGGGTGGGGCCACTCAGAGGTGGTATTTACCGGTTCTCCGAACTACTCAAAATTTCCGCTACCGGTTCTCCAGAACTGGTCAGAACCTGCTGAAACCCACCTCTGATTTGCACCCTGTATCTCTTTGACTGCCATTCCACTGGCTGTTTCTGAGGAAAACCCCGTGGCCCAGCTGACAATAGCTCCTCCTGTCCCCAAAACTCTCTTATGTGGTCATGCCACTCGTGGTCTCTCGGCCTGACTGGTAAGGTTCTTGGCCCCGATGTTGATCCCAGGCCCACGAAACTGTAATCTTAGTTAGTTAATTATAAACATATAAATAAATGTTTAGCCTTTGTTTTAAATCACAAACCATCTGAAGTGGTCTGGCAGAGACATTGTTGGTATATAACAATAGTCTAAATCAGCGGTTCTCAAACATTTTGGATTCAGGATTGCTTCATGTTCTTAAAAATGACTGAGGACCCCTGAGCTTTGATTTTCTGTGGTTGATATCTATTGCCGTGTACTCTTTTAGAAATTCAAACTAAAAAAAAATATTAAAATATATGTTTTGAGTTTGTGGATCCCGTAAAAAGGGCTTGGGGATCCCCAGAGGCCCCTAGACCACAGGCCTGGTCTAAATAAATGATCCTTGGAGAAATTAAATGTATTGGGGATTACGAACAAGGAAAGAATGTGAAATTCTCAAGTCCTTAGTTCATTTTTTTTCAGTCCGCTTCTAAAGGTATCCTAAGTTTTCTTCTGCAACATCTTTGCATTTTTCAAACATGACTAACTTTAGTTGATAAATAACCACCAGATGTCATACATTTTGAAGGACAGGATGATTTTCTCCCCCCCAAAGGATTTTCAATTTTAAAGGAGTCTGAATATTTATTTAAAAAAAAAATAGTTTGAAAAACAAACCTTCTGAACTTCCTGTCAGCTTTTTCTCTCTTTTCTTGTAACACCAGCAATTCTGCACAACACTTGTGTTCAAAACTAGAAAGGAAAACTCATCATGTGATATACTGGAAATGTAGAGAGGAATGAACTTTTTTTTTTTTTTTAATGATACTAATTTTTCTCCCAACGGACTTTCCTGTTAGAGGAGCAAACGATACAAAACACATCATCGTACAAATTTGGAAGATCAGCATTCTGCAAATCATTTCTTCCCAGGGTGAGCCAGAAAGAGTGACATTAACAGCTTTCTCCGGAGGACGGTCGGCTCAGAGTATTGCATTAGACATCTGTTAGACATTATTCAAAAATGAAGGGCAGTTGCCAAGGGTGACCAAAGTTACCTGGCTGTCTGGAAGCTTTTTTTTTTTTTTGGTTCAAGTTTACTGTTCCTCCAGAATGCAACAGGCACAGATTACCTGATCTAGATTTTGTGAATTTCCCCCTTTTAAAATCTCACCGCGCTTTTAAAATGCAGAAAAGCAGACGGTCGTAATACACAGAGTTGATCTGATTTGGAAAGCATCGTGCCCGCTCTTTTGCAAGTCCCAGAGAAGCTGCAGTATCACAACATGTGTACGCATTAGTTTAGGAATGAGAAGGAAAAAAAAAAGGGGGGGGGAAGCAGACAACAGAGAGTAGAAGGTAGTAAGGTGGTAAGGCAGTGCAAAATCAAGATAGGGTGAATCTAATAAATTTGTCCCGTGCCCTCGATTTGAAATCTCCAGGTCAATACGTACTTAGCAAAATTATTCAGCAGTTTCCTCGAAGTCTTTTTACTGTCCTGAATGACATCCATATAAGTTGGAGAAAGGGGTGTGCTGATTATTCTGGTCAAGGGAAAACTTGTATTATTTTCACCTCCTGCAAATGAACAATGACCTGGGATAACCGATGTACACGGGCCTTTTCTATCTGGCAATATTCTGCTCATGAAGGACAGGGGCATCTTTGGCACCAAGTCCGGGAGACATCCTAAGACGAACAGGTTTGCAAGACTAATGGCGCATTGATTCAAAGACCAAACCCTTGTACGGGGTAGTCCTCGAATTACGACCACAATTGAGCCCAGCATTTCCATTGCTAAACGAGAGGTTTGTTAAGTGAGTTTTGCTCCGTTTTACTCACTTTCTTGCCACGCTGGATAAGTGAATCACTGCAGCTGTTAAGCGATTTATATGGTTGTTAAGTGAATCCGGCTTCCCTTGCTCGTTAGAAAGTTGCAAAAGGGGATCACATGACCTCGGGACACAGCAACCGTCCTATGGGCCAGTTGCCGAGGGTCTGGATTTCGATCACGTGACCACAGGGATGCTGCAACGGCCTTAAGTGTGGGAAATGGTCGTAAGTCACTTTTTTCAGTGCTGTCGTAACTTGGAATGGTCACTAAATAAAACAATTGTAAGTCAAGGACTACCTTTAAAGTGATACCCCCTTTTTCCAAAGAGGAGCAGCATCCTGATGGGAACAGAGGACAATCACTCTTTGAATTCTGTCTCCTTCCCTTTGCTTCTGTAAGAGTGAGTATCTAATAGTCACAATGATTCATCTCTTGATGTTTCTGCGGCACTAAGATAAATAATTTAGGTTTGAAGAATAAATTGAAGGTTAATGTGGATGATTCAGGCCCACTTTATATGGTCGGTACCACGTGCCGGAAGATAATATAGGCATCAAAAGTTTTGCATTAGCTGCAGTTACTACTAGAATGTACCGTATTTTTGGGAGTATAAGACGCTCCAGACTATAAGACGCACCTACTTTCCTTTGGTGAGGAAAACAAGAAAAAGAAAATTTTGCCTCGTTGCAGCAAACAGCCTGCTTTACTTTCATTTTCGTTTTCAGCATAGCTTGATTAGCACAAGAAAAAAAAAATCTGCTCCCAGCAATTTACCTCCTTGCAGCAAGCAGCAATCAAAACAGCTGAGAGCAAAACAGCTGAGAGTCGGGAGGCCAATCCAAATAACTTGTGCTAATTAGGCTGCGCTGAAGCTGAAACAAGCTGTTTCTTCTTGCTGCTTGCTGCAAGGAGGTAAACTTCTGGGAGGCAAAGGCCAAAGGGTGGGGACCAGTGGGTGGGCTGGGCTACATTCGGTGTATAAGACACACCTAAATTTTCACCCCCTTTTAGGGGGGAAAAAGATGCGTCTTATACTCCGAAAAATATGGTATTTTGAATATAAATCATGGCATTGTAAAACTGTAATAAAGTATTCTGACTCAACCGTTAACATAGTAGCAAAAAGCTTTGGAGGAAAAATCTAGAATGAAGGATAAATTTATTGGAAGTGCCATTTATTAACTATATTAACAATGTCTTTTTTCCTAATAGATTACCTTTTTCTGTACAAATGTCACTCCTGGCAACAAATATTTAAGATGGATCTTTAAAATAGCTCTTAGGAGCTCACAAAGAGTATGTGGTTCCTTTTGTTTAGGGGAAAAAAATTGACTTTCTATTCCTTTTTAAATAGATGCTTTTTGTTTCTGGACCCTGCATTTTTTTTTAAAAAAACCTGCAGTATTTTTCTTATACATTTTGATAGCTCATTAAAGAAACAAATAAAAAACTCCAAACAGTAGGTTCCAAACATTTTTAAAAGGGCACTTCCACATGCAACGTTTTAGGAATCTAAATGACAGGCAACGGCATAGATCACTCAGACCAAATTCCTCTTCCTCAGGAAGAAGCACATTGACCCACCAGTCACTTTCCTGCCCGTAGACAATCCTTGATTGATTGATTGATTGATTTTATATGCTGCCATCTCACTCTGAAAAGCGACTGGCTGGCTTTCAATTAAAATTATTCTCCCAGGAATAAGTGAAACTCTTTTTAATCTACAAAAAGAGCCTTCCCAGGAATGGAACTCTGCCCAGAAATTAATTGCATTCTAATTTGCAGTTCAACCTGACTTCTGACCAAGGCTGCCACCTTCTCAGTATGGAATCCTAGTTTGTTCAGTCCTACCTAATTCCCCATTGATTCTAGCTCTTTAGGACTTTCTTTGGTGCCAGTGAATGATGGGCGTCATTGATGCCCAAACTCTGCATGGTTTTCCCTTTATGTTTTCATGCAAAGCTATTTAAAAGGATAGGAAACCAAATAGCCAGGTAATTATTTTCCCATTTCAGGACTGCCTGCCTTTTGTTGGGAAAGTCAAGACCTTTGGCTGTTCCTGGAGAGCAACAGATATGGCCAGCTAACTCAATTCAGGTCCTTTTGTGAAGAGGGCAGTAAAAAAATGGTACCTTGGATAGCTCCAAGTGCTCCCCTCTCAGGACAACAGCAGGAAGTTGTAGCCATTTTCCAACTTCCACCAAAGCCAAGTTGATTGAGGGATCTTCCAGGGTCAGATTTGGGAAGAAATACCCTGAATGTCTAAGGGACTCGGTGGCTCAGCGGCTAAGACGCTGAGCTTGTTGATCGAAAGGTCGGCAGCTCAGCGGTTTGAATCCCTAGTGCTGCGTAATGGGGTAAGCTCCCATTCCTTGTCCGAGCTTCTGCCAACCTAGCAGTTCCAAAGCAGGTAAAAAATGCAAGTAGAAAAATAGGGACCACCTTTGGTGGAAAAATAACAGCGCTCCATGCGCCTTTGGCATTTAGTCATGCTGGCCACATGACCACGGAGACGTCTTTGGACAGCGCTGGCTCTTCAGCTTTGAAACGGAGATGAGCACTGCCCCCTAGAGTTGGGAATGACTAGCACACATGTGCGAAGGGAACCTTTACCTAACCCTGAATGTCAAAGTATTGGTCTTATCGTTCAGGTGACTCTAACAGGGACTTCTATAGTCTTTTGAAAGGGAGGTAATAATAAATGCCGCCAGAAATATCAGTGAGTGGTGTACCATTCTCCTGTATGAGCTAAACATTGCAGAAAGGTAACCTGTTCAATAGTCCTGAATGTCACCCTGTAGCTCTATCCCAAAATATAAAGGGCTGACCGAAAATCAAGGCTGGGAAAGTTCCTCAATCACCTTACTTGAAGAAGAAAGCTGACTTTCTCTTTTCAACATTCCTATATATATATATATAAATTAACAAGTTAATTGCCTCATGCATTCCTATTGATTGTCTCATGCAATTCTTTCAATCTAACACAGAGTCTCTTCAGCAAATCTTGTTGAAAGATAGCAATAGTACCTGAGCATGAAGACCAACTTAAGACCAGATTGTTGGAGCAATATGCTGACTCTGTAAATCGCTTAAGAAGGATGCAAAGTACTATGAAGCAGTCTATAAGTGCTTTTGCTATATGAAGGGATTAAAAATCATAGACCTCTCCAGAAATAAAACTCACTGTTTTGACTTGTTTTTTTTTTAAAAAAGGTAGAAACGATTGTTCTGCATTATTCCTTCTGCTCCAAAGTAGGTGATATCAAGTCTTCAGTTTTCTGAGTAAAGTTACCAAATTTCCTACCAGTTTATGATCAAGAAAGGCATCTAACTCAAATGGATTTTTTTTTTAATATGGAAAGGTTTATTTTCCCATTGGTCTTACATTCCAAACCACTGCATTTCTCGAGGGTCTAACTTAAACACAGCAGATTCCTGAATATATTTTATTAGGGTGATGTAATGTTTGAAATGATAGCTGTTTGTAGCATTGCAATGTTGGAAGATCCACTAGGTTACTGGTTTTCTTATGATTCACTGTGTTTTTTTCTTTTAATCTTTGCTGAATCAATACAGCATTTTAAAAAACATGATGGAAGCCCTGATTATCAATTGCTCTGATATTTCTTATGTTCAAGGGCTAATTTGGACAAGTTCTTATGTAAATTACTTATTCCTTCATATTAGAAAACACAGATTTTTTTCCCATGTTTAATTGCTAGAATTAAAATGTTGAGAAGCAATATGGTCCTGTATCTAACTCAAAGACCTCTCTTTATATTGGAAAGCCTTTTAAGCGAAGTATATGTGTAGGGGATGAGCTGGCTAAGCCTGAGGGACGGTCAAGCATGCCATCAGTCTCAAGTCCCTTTGCGCCCACAAGTCCAGCACAACTTGAATTCCATTGACTTTTATCTACCGCAAATTTGCTTTGACTGTTAGTAGTTCAGATTCTTGTAGAGAGCTGTAGCGCACAAGAAACCTATATATTCATTCGAACTGCCTGGATTCCTGATTGCCTGTGCCTGACACATGTACTCCCTATGCTCTTACCACTTCTCTCCACTCTCTTCTCATCTCTTTTTGAATTTGATAACTACAGCCCAGGAAGGTTGGTTACAACTGGCCTCCATTCCAGTGGTGGTATTCAGCTGGTTCTATCCAGTTCGGGTGAACTGGTAGCAGAGGCTGTGGGTGGCTCCGCCCATCTGCCCCGACATAATCACGTCCCATTTATCCACGTTTTTGATGCTCTGCGTAAGCATGGAATGCCGTGCACGCCCACATTTGCAAACCGCTAGCGAACGTAAGTGAATACCACCCCTGCTCCATTCTATCTCGAGCTCTACAAGAAACGATGGACTACAAGAAAGAGTGAGGCAAAATATTAGAATGTGCAGAAATGAATAGATTAATACTTGCAATTAAGGAGAAAGAACAAACTGAATATTATATGACATGGGAACTATTTTATCAATTGTTAGAGAATAAAAACAAAGGTTTAAAATAGGGAAACAAAAGAAGATCAGTGAAATATAGAAAATATGCTAAGAGAGAGACTATTAGGATTATTATGTTTAATATTATTATTACATTCTTATTACAAGATATGTCAAGAGGGAGAAGTGAATATGTTTATAATGTTCAATATTATTATTGTAAAATTGGAGGAGTAATATTAATGTAATGAATACTGTTGTAAAATTTGATTATTATTGCACAAAGATACATGTACCCAGACGACACACTGTTTAATGGAAGATGGAATTATTATACTAAAAAATAAAAAAATAAAAAAGGGAGGGAGGGAGGGAGGGAGGGAGGGAGGGAGGGAGGAAGGAAGGAAGGAAGGAAGGAAGGAAAGAAGGAAGAGTGAAGCACAGACCTGTTCCAAATACCATCCAGTCTATTTCATTCTCGTCTTTCCTCCCCTCCACGGCCTAACCACATGGCCATAGGAAAAGAATAACATTTTCCTCGGATTAATAAAACTTTTTCTGAAGCTGTGTTTGCATGTATGTGCACATTGTGAATATTTGGGTAAGTTTGCTTTTAAAAGCCAGTATCAATTAGAAGTGGGATTTTTGATGGGGATATTGTCATATGCAAAGGGCTACTGGCAGACTGAAGAATTCTAACTTGAAGGGGGGGGGAAAATGTGGAGAAATGTGTAACTTTAGTTGTTCTGTTCTGAAAAATGTAGTTCAACTTAATTCAGCCAGAAAGTCTTGGCAGTAAGTTGGGATGGAAGAGAGAGACGTTTCAAAACACAAGTCTCCTGAAAGGAATGGTATATATACACAGTCACAAGATGAGAAAAGACTGCACTATTTCATGATTTTTCCCCTCCTTCCCATATCTGTCCAGGAACCAATCTGGAATATACCCTATTCTACATCCTCTTCCATTTGTTAGGTTTTCCCCTTTACCTTTTGCTAGTCTCTATAATTTTTTTTGGGGCAGGGGGAGAGAAAGGAAGATAACTTGAAATCTCACCACAAGAAAAGCTCAAAAGTGCCTTTTGACAATCATTAAAATGCAAGCAAAGCAAAGCAAAGCACACAATTGTTAAGCCAAAAGGGGTTGGAGGAGAGTACTTGCTGTTCCAGATAGACTCATAAAAAAGTGTCTAATTGAGATTGAGGAGATGTAGAGCGCTGGGGAAAAATAAAACATAACTGGGTTTGATCACAGAATAACTTTTACAAGGGTGTCTGTGGGGGCATTTAAAAAAAAATAAAATAAAAAGCCAAGATGGCCGTTATGAGCTAAGATCCAACTTTTTTGTTTTTTACTTGTGAAAGAAGGACAGGGCTTTGATCACGTGGCTGAAGATGCCATCTTGACATTTTTAAACCCTCTGGGGATAACTCCTCAACTTCTACCAGGGACTGAGAAGAGAGAAAGAATATGTGCATAGATGTTTGTGTACGAAAGTTGTGAACGCTCCAACACTGGAAGCTTTTAAGAAGAGATTGCATAACCATTTGTCTGAAGTGGTGTAGGGTTTCTTGCCTAGGCAGGGGGTTGGACTAGAAGACCTCCAAGGTCCCTTCCAACTCTGTTATTCTGAAAGAGAATCAGAGCTATACAGAGACAAAGAGAAGGAAACCACAAATGGTTAGTTTCATGTTGGGCATTGTTTTTTTAAGCTTTGGTTAGAATAATACTTTTTATCTTTTGTTTAGGAGAATGTATAGATTCGTTCATTTGTTGTTTGTAACATCTGGATATCCCTTCCTCTATAACTGTCCCTCACTGGAAATATTTTAAAAGCCCCGTGGCTCAATGGTTAAGAAACTGGGCTTGTCAGCTGGAAAGCCAGCAGCCCAAGTTTGAAACCCGAACGCCACGCGATGGGGTGAGCTCCTGTCCTTGCTCCAGCTCCTGCCAACCTAGTTCAAAAGCATGGAAATCATCATCATCTTTTAATAACCCCATAATCCCTTGCGGGGTGGATTCTAGGCAGCTGAATGGAGCTGAGTATTTACTGGCCAGATGCCCTTCTTGTCACCAATGCGGAGTTATATCCAGCAGATATAATCTCAACATGCCCAGAGAGGGAAATATTTGCGTCTACCTAAGATCGAACTCATTTGAAAGCATGCAAATGCAAGCAGATAAATAGGTACCACTTTGGTGGGATGGTAACACTGCTTCATGATGTCATGCTAGCCACATGACCACAGACAGCACAGGCTCAATGGCCTTGAAACAGAGTGAGCACCACCCCAAGAGTGGGCAATGACTAACAAAGTAAAAATCTGCAAGGACTCCTTTATATAAAAGTAAGGTACTAGAAACATTTTTAAATGCTAAGAATGAAAGCTTTTTTAAAAAATGGTGCAATTAATAATGGAGAAGAAATAAGAAACAACTGCCCAGTACACAGGTCTTTGTGGGGAATAGCTTAATAATGGAGTTCCTTGAGCCACATTTTCCTTTACTGTTGTTTCTACACCAAATCCTGGAAAACTTATATTTATCTTATTTTGAAAAAAAAATTCTTGACACAGATCATGAGTTTACTTGATCTTTTTCCTGAATGATCATCGTTCAGAGAGTTTTTCTGCTTTTATATGTCCCATCTGTCTCTCCTTGAATTTGAAAAATCTCTTATTAATTTTCTTTATTTTTATATATCTCCACTGTTAAAATCGTTTTTATTATTTCTAACTGCTTGCCTTATGGCTAAAATAAAGACTTGAACCAGAATTAAATGTTCTGAAAAGATGAGGAAACTGAACACGTGGATATAAACTTTGGGGACCTCCAAAAAGTTGCTGCTAAGCTATAATATTTAATGTAATATAAAGCAAACATTCTTGAACGCTTGAGTAATCCTGTTAATTTAATTTAATTTAATTTAAATCCTATTTGTTTTCTGTTCTAACACCACCCTTATAGGGGAACATGTCTCCAACGTGTCTCTCAAAAACTGAGTGTAGCCCTCGATTTGAAAAAGGTTTTTTGGTGATGATTTATGTATTTCACTGAAAGATTATCCCATTGCTTGGAATCAATTTCATATCAAAGAGAACGGAGTGATAAGACTTCTCCTGTGAAGTGCATGAGACAATGAACTTGTTATTTTTTACTGGGACTAGATCGTTCTGGAAATGATTATGTATGCAGGACAAAATAAAATGACTTAAAATTATCCACATTTCCTCATTTTTTCAGTTTAACAGAGGAAGCCAACATAACGATTAGGCATTTCATTTTAAAGTCATCTGAATACGGCAAAGGGTATGGTTTTATAATTAAGACGGAGTTGTCTCCCAAGTTGACTAGGTTATAACAAGAGAGATTCAACTCATTTCCAAGTTTAAATCCCAAAGTTGCATGTTCATAGGATCAGGCTGTTGACCCAGATGTAGAAAGGAATTAAATTATTACCTAACGGACAAAATATTCTTATAGATCTGTGAACCTTCTTCTACTCACTGGCTAACCTAGTATCGGAATCCTGCCAGAGAAGATTTGTATCAATGATTTTCATAGTTTCTTTCTGGAAATATGTTCCAGACTGACTCATCCACTAAAGAATCTGTAATCTGTCATGGAAACCTGGCATCTAATAGGTCCTGTGCACATGGCTGCAGATTAAAGACCATTCCTTTGGATGTCTGTCACGCGTATTGTTTCTCCTCCTAAAAGTGATCCAAGGATCAGAGGGTTGGTTGTCTGGAACCTAGAACTAAATCAGAAAATTATTCTGATCCAGAGATTTTGTAATGCTCAATCTGGCTTTCGCAGTCATATTCTACCATAACATCCAATTGTTGTTAAATTATCTAGCTTCTAGGCATGTGCCAAGATTTTACTCAGTGACTAAGTCCATGAAGTGATCTTGTTCACTTTTGGCTTACTGTTCTCTGCTTTTATGGTTTATTGAGTAAACAATGGTTGAGCAGACTGTGGATTAGTGTGATGAGTGCATGTAGTCATTATGACATGGCTTCAATTTAATTTTTTTATTTATTTATATCCTACCGTTATTATTTTTTTAAAAAAAAAAAACTCAAGACGGCAAACATATCCAACACACCTTCCTCCTCCTATTTTCTCCACAACAACCATCTTGTGAAGTGAGTTGGGATGAGAGAGAATGACTGGTGCAAGGTCACCCAGCTAGCTTTCATGGCTAGCTGGGACTAGAACTCAAATCTCTGGTGATTGGCCAAAGTCACCCAATTGGCTTTGATTGCTAAGGCAGGAATAGAACTTACAGTTTCCTGGTGATTGACCCAAAGTCACTCAGCTGGCTTTCATGGCTAAGGTGGGACTTGAATTCATGGTCTCCAGGTTTCAAGTGTGGTGCCTTAACCACTAGACCAAACTGGCTCTTGTTATATATCAGTCCTGTATATGTATAAAATAAAACATGTATGTTATATGTGTCTTTTAATAGCAAAAGCAAATCATAATTGAGAGAAGATGTATGCAGCAACTCCTCTATATATTTGTTTAGCCCTTTTCTCCAAATCCAATTTGGAAAAGAACTGAGCTCAGAGAGAAAATTAAAAGAAAAAAAAAGTTCCAAAAACGGAGTCCAAGTTTCTTAGTTTGACCTGCCACGAAAAAGAAAACCACATTCCCACAAAATTCAGATTTCACTTCTGTCTTTCCCATCCTTTCACCCATCACATTGGTGTGTGTGTGTGTGTGTGTGTGTGTGTGTGTTTTAATGGACACAGATTATTTTACTGCAGGTTTCAGAAACTGTAAAGCTATCTCAAGTAATAAACGTCTTCCTTTAAAAATGAAAGGATATGGTACTTTGCAGATTTCACTATGATTGATCCTGTAACCTCGGGAGTTTGCTAAAGTATTAGGGATTCCATGCATCTGAAGATAATAGGAGACCAATGGACTTTGACCACCAAGGTTGAAAAGCGAATGCTGAAAGTCTGGACCATCTCCAACGTAATGGGACTATAAAGAAGATGGAAAGAGCACAGTTTAATCTTTCTTCCAGCTGGGCTGCTAAGAGGTGGGAGGGGGGTTTAAGAAGGGGGGAGGGGGGCACACACAGATTCTGATTGAGAAAATAGTGCAGAAGGAAAGGTTAAGCACTCTGTCCCCCAAAGTTGTTTTTAATTATCTAATCCTCCCTCCCCAATCTCTGCTCTCTGGCAACTGCAACCTCAGTCTTTCTCTTGCTTCCTAATTTTGTATTTGTGGCGAAAAGACTGATTTTGACTTGTTCTGTATTTGCAGTGTGAAGTGTAACCTACATTCCGAACAAAAGTTTACTACTGTTTGTAATATTTTATTCTACTCTCTTCTTTCCTTGCCATTAGATATTTGGTATTGCATGAACTGGTTTCTCTCTCCCGTATGATCTATAGTTCATTTAATGAGCCCAGGTTGGTTGGTTGGTAGATTTTTTTCCTCTCTCTCTAAAGAATATGCACAATTCGTTGTGCAAAGGTTTAAATTGTTTTTGCAAAGCGTGCAGAAAGAAGTAAGAAAGGTTAGAGACGAAACTGTTTTCAGGTCTTGAATATAATGCAGAATGTTCACACGTACCTCTTTTTTTTCTTCTGCTGGCCCTTGCATTAGTTCTTCATTAGTCACCTGAAATCTCACTGTATAAAATACAAAAAAAAAGGGAGGGGGTTTTCCCAGTTACCTACGGTAATTTTGAGTTTTCTTCCCATCATTTTTCATTACTTTATTCAATGAGATAAAATCATCTCATCCACAACAGAACGAGAGATGCAGAAAACCTGGATTTTTCTTAAAGACATGGTTAAAATCCTCCGTCATTTGTGTTCCGGAAGAGCACATTCCCACGACTGAAAAAATTGTTTTTAAACAGGTGCAGAGGCTGATGTCCCAGCAAACTCTGCAATCCCTTTTCAAGAGGGAAAGTTGACCGTACCGTATTTAAAAAGTGTTGAGAATTCAGAAGTTGCCTAATTATAATAAAATTAAATTAATCAATGACATTTAGAACAAACGTGGTGCTATTACTCACTTTCCTTAGTTACATAATAATGCCCAAGAACCCTTAAACTAAAATCATAAATATGAAACCACTATTCCCAGGTTCAAAAGTACCAGGAAATTTTTAACAAATTCTTGGATTTTTGTGTTATTGTGTTCAAGGGATTTAGACTTGTTCTTGCCAATTCCAAGATTGTTATGTCTCGGAAATCGGTACTGAGCAAGTGTTACGTTTCCAAGAATTAATTCTGAGTATCTTGGTTTCCTTCAAAGGAAATACAATCACTGCCCTTTTTTGAACATCTTAGCCAAAATTGTCTATTGTACAAATTATTATTCAAAGTGTTAATGCTTTATATAAAACACACTAAGGGCATATTAATAAAACAGGCAATTCCAACTAATTGCAGGAATCCTGGTAAGAATATATGCTCTTCTCGTCAATATTCATTTTAAAAATGAGAGAACATAGACAATTGATAACACTACAGGTCTCCAGCTATCGTCCAGCTTTTGTCTATGATGCACTTTATTTAGTATAATCTTGGCAAATAAATAATTTTGACTAGGGAACTTAGAAATGCAATTATTTCCAGAACTGCATTCAGCCGAGACACACTTTCATTTTTCTCATATCCATACTAGGAGAATAATCTATTCTGTGTTTGAAAAAGTTACTCAGGGCATGAACCAATTATGCACAGTACCTAGGTTTACAGATTGAAACCGCTATGATTATAATGACCATGTGTATATGTGTGTGTGAAATCTATAGGTGCATGCTTATTTGCAAATAGGGATCCTTATTCAGTTAAGGGATTGAAAGAACAGTTGTTGGAACTGGGTATGTCAAGTCTGATGAAAAGGGGGACTAGGGGTGACATGATAGCAGTCTTCCAATATCTCAGGGGCTGCCACAAAGAAGAGGGAAGTCAACCTATTCTCCAAAGCACCTGTGGGCAGGACAAGAAGCAAGGGGTGGAAACTAATCAAGGAGAAATTTCCTGCCAGTGAGAACAATTAATCAGTGGAACAATTTGCCTCCAGAATTTGTGAATGCTCCAACACTGGAAGTTTTTCAGAAGAGATTGGACAACCATTTGTCTGAAATGGTATAGGGTTCCCTGACTAAGCAGGGAGTTGGACTAGAAGACCTCCAATGTCCCTTCCAACTCTGTTATTCTATAAAAACGGAATATACTCATAGAAAGCCAATTTTTCAACCCAAATGTAAAACTTCTGTGGATCTAAATAGCTAGACCTTTATTTGTTATTTTATTTATTTAATTTGTCAAACATGTACTAGATAACAGGTATAAGTATAAACGTAAGTATAAACTTATAAAAGTATGTATATAAAGTATAAGTATAAACCTCCCCACTATCAAATGTCAAGCTCTTGCTCCTGTTTTTGTCAAGGGCAGTACTGCCTTGGGAATGTGGGTTTCTAGTGAGTGGGATACTTTGCAATTAATTGTATTTCCTGCAGGACTTCCTTTATGGAAGCTTCCAAGGATTTAAATGCACAGAAGTGAAGATGCAAGGGAGACCTTGTGCATCCAAGGACATCCAAGGATATGTTCATACTGTACTGGAGGAGACGATCCTGGCTTTGTTAATTAGGCATAAAACAAATTGTAGCCCTATCGATCTAGATCAGGGGTCTCCAACCTTGGCAACTTTACGACTTGTGGACTTCAACGCCCAGAATTCTTCAGCCAGTATGCGCTGGCTGAGGAATTCTGGGAGTTGAAGTCCACAAGTCATAAAGTTGCCAAGGTTGGAGACCCCTGAGCTAGACGACACCATCCTTGGGAAAATTGCAGGAATTGCTGGATTGTGAAAACTGTAGTTAAAGCACATTCTGGGTGGAGAATAAACATAAATTTAAATTTAAAAAAAAAACTTGGATTGCAGCCCTCAAAAATCTATCTTCTCCATGAGGCACAACAGCACACATAGTTCAGAACAATGACTGGTCCGTGTAACATACTAGCTACTGCATTGTAAAATTCAGAAAAACTGAGTTGGATCGATGCCGGGTGCACACCCATCTTTATCTTAAGAGAAAACTTGTGAGAAAGCAATTAAGTGTCTTCCTCCCCACACACACACACATTTCTTCTCAAGTGTCATGATGACCCAGAATGCCTTCTGCAAAATGACAGCCAACGCGAAATGATGGCCAGGCCACCCAGAAGGGCTGTGTCGCTGCTGGCCTCCAGAACATTTTTCCAGTACTTTCAGTGCTAGGTAATAACTGGATCAGCACATTCCCCCTAACATCTGCTACTGGTTCAGATCACTCATTCTCCTGGTCTTCCCTCCTCCTGATCTGACAGAGCTTCTTGGATGTTATTAACTGAAACTCTCCTCGGTTTTGTCGGATCGAGTTGAAAATGATCTGGATGACAACCTAGGAGGCTTTAAGATTCAGTTCTGGAAAGAAAACAGTCTTGTTATTTAAGCTATACATGTCCAGGTCAGTGGTGGGTTTCAAAATTTTTTACTACCGGTTCTGTGGGTATGGCTTGGTGGGCGTGGCAGGGGAAGGATACTGTAAATCTCCATTCCCTCCCCATTCCAGGGGAAGGTTACTGCAAAATCCCCATTTCCTCACGATCAGCTGGGACTCGGGAGGCAGAGAATAGATGGGGATGGGGCCAGTCAGCATTTTTACTACCGGTTCTCCGAACCACTCAAAATTTCTGCTACCGGTTCTCCAGAACTGGTCAGAACCTGCTGAAACCCACCTCTGGTCCAGATGCAGAGAAACAAATTCAAGAAGATGAAAGCTCATTTTTTAAAAAAACAACAACAACAGAGTAATTTGGTTTTATGGCCATGTCAATGCCTTAGTAAGCAGTCCCAATAGGGATTGTAAGTATGAATGCGGCCACCTTAAATTCCAAAATATGAATCCACAATTAGCAGGATGGGACTCGAAAGTAAATTCTTTGAGTTGTTATGGCCTATTCATTCCTATAGTCACAACGGTGCATATCAGAGGTCTCCAACCTTATCAATTTTAAGACTTGTGAATCATGCTGGCTGGGAAATTCTGGGAGTTGAATTCCACAAGTCTTAAAGTTGCCAAGGGTGGAGACCCCTGGTGCATGTGATGCATTGTAGGGAAAACTTATTATTATATCCAGGAATATGGAATGTGGCAAAGCTATGCCAATCTACTTTTCAAAAAAACCTGAAACACTTAGCCACAAATGACTTTTCCTGCAGGCATTAGGACAAAGCATATGATTCTTTCTAGGCCAAGTGTCATGTAGAGAACGTGTTCAGGAAAAAAACCCCTTAATTTTCATTTCATGTACATTTCTGTTTAATTAACATTCAATACAGTTGGTTGTGTTACTTTCCAGCTATATAATTCCCTCTCTCTCACAATGGCAATTTAGTGACCAGAAATATTGTAGCATAAGGTTCAAGTGTCAGATTGAAACTAGGGAGATCTAGGATTCAATCTCCATCTGCCTGTGAAGTTTACAGAATGACTCTGCCCATTCATGACCTCTTATTCTGAACTACGTCATGGGGGATGATTTTAAAAAATTATTAGAAAAGAAGCAGATGCTCGGAAGAAAAGTAGAGCGCAATCTAGCAAGGAGGATTCGCTAAATAACATATCCATATTTTTCGGAGTATAAGACACACCTTAGTTTTTGGGGAGGAAAATAAGAAAAAAGCTGATTGGGGATGGATCAGCCTCCCAGAATATCCCCAATCAACTGTTCCCAGAGGTGAACTTTAGCAACAGGTTCGTTGGTTGTGAGCTCTGCGCCTTGCTTTTTTTTTCAGCCTCTGAAACCTCTGTTTGAGAGGCTTTTTTTCCAGCCTCTCAAAGGGAGGTTTCAGAGGCTTTTTTTCAGAGGCACCGTATCAGAGGCTGGGCAGGGCTACATTCGGACTATAAGATGCACCCAGATTTTCACCCTCTTTTTGGGGGTAAAAAGGTGTCTCTTATATCCTGAAAAATACGGTAAATGAGCATTATAGAACCATTTTCATTTTAGGACTGTTTAGCAGTCCATAGTATAAATATCCTCAGCACATCCTGTAAATCATGGCTGGCTGGGGAATTCTGGGAGCTGAAGTCCACAAGTCTTAAAGCTGCCAAGGTTGGACATCCCTGTTGTAAATCATTGCTTAATTTAATGGTTTTGGTCCTTTAGAGCCCTACTCTTTCCCAAGTCGCGATATGCTAATGTGTATCCCCATGATATGGTTCAAGAGATGACAAGCTTCAAGAGGTTTTGTTCAGTCTACTGATGCTGTATCATCAGAACTACCTTTGTAATAGGTTCTTTTCATGGATAGTTTGATTCAATGTTCAATATGAATGCCTTGCAATAGCCTAACTAACCCAACCTTGGCAGGAGTCACAGAGGGTAGTGGGCCTTTGGCCAACACAGCATTGGCCCATTATTTAATTCTTTCTTTCCTCTCTTTGGGTGGAATGTCTTCTTCTCAGGCAACTCCCTATGTATTTGGCTTTTAGGACTAATGCTAATTAATGCAGGGAGACACCCACATGGCTTCCTCTTTGCTTGGACCTATTGTACCATTGGGAGAAACAGCAGGAGAAGCCTTAGATGCCATGCTATTTTATTGTTTTGTGATACCA